ACAAAATATATTTAGCAACCTGGTCTGTTAAAGCACATCTGTGACATTCTCTGTTGTTTGAGTACCAGTACTTGTCCAGAGTGGCCAGCTGAGAGTGTCCTTTGTACTGTACCCAATACAGCACCACTCCTTACAATGCACATTGAATCACTATTTCTTAAACAAATGGGCCTTTGTGTCTATGGAGCTCATTTGCTTTCAAGGAATTGAGAGTAACTTTGGTAAGACAATGTGGAGGAATGTTACATAATATTAGGGGTGTCCAAGAGTGAGTACGAAGTTTCATTTCTCTATTCCTGTTCAGACCAGGATGTTTATTAGCATCTGAAGGAGGGAGGACATCCTCCTCATCTTCATCGGTTATCTTGATGACAGATTTCCTACACATCAGAATGATACAGCTTAGTCGGAGGTTCATTATCAGGAAAGTAGATATTTGTCTGTGGAATGATATAATCGCAGAAAATGTTAACGATGTTTGGGGAATTGTTGACAAATACTCTAGAATGGTCCACAGGAGAGATGATATACATGGTATCATTGTCAGTTCTCAGATGACTGTGGGTGAGTATAACTGCTTGGTTATACCAAAACAGATGAAAGTGTCTTATAACATACAGTTTGCGAAATAGTTTCCAAATTTTCTATGCCTGAAAGTTACTAGCCCACAAAATAATTCACTAGTCCGAAACTTGAATGTAGACACGGGTTTCATCATTAAGCTGCTAATATGATGAACAGTTTTATCAGGCCATAATCTTAAATGATTTAGAAGTGAATTATAACCTAACAAGTCGGAGAGAGTGATATATTTACAAAATGACCCCATGAAAATTCACTAGCTTGTCTAGCCAGTGACTGCAGATTTACTGGCCTGACTGGATTTTTTACTAGCCTCAGGCTAGCGGGCCAGTGGCTATTTCGCATACTGGTAACATAGTGTGAGTGATTATGATTTTATGCTGCAGTGCCAGTAGTCAGAAATATTATGGCAGGGGACACCAGAAATGAGCATAATTATCAGAGGTTCAGATAAGCTGCTTATCTGCTTAACTTAAGCAAATATTTATGTGAAAACTCCTATAAAGTCTACCTCATACAAGTATGCTTGAATTTTTGTAAATACTCATGCGTTCACACAAAAAATGTCAAATCTTAGCTTGCATACCTGTGGATAGATAAAATAACAGGTATTTTGAGAGGTTCTATTTTAACACATGAATGTGACAACTTGCAGTCTTTCTTATCGTTTCTCATATTACAGAACAAATATAAATAACAAACATCTATACCAACATTTAAACTGTATTATATTTGTACAATTATTTGAAAATGGCAAAATACCCAATTGAGTTTGAGTGAGGTGAGTACAATTTATTTGGTTATTCAAAGAAAAATTAGGATACCCAATTGAGATGAACACAAGCGAGTACATAAATCAATGACTCAAAAAGTTATCCGTAGCTCTGTGTTATATGACATGAAGTAACCTGACGTAATGGGGATGAGGATGGGGATGGGGTATGACATCCATGATAACCTCCAGGGTATGCGTTCTGATAAATGTCCACTTGTAGAGATTTATTGGAACGTATACCCTGGAGATCATCGAGGATGTGGGTAGGGTTAGAGAGTCATAAATTTGATTTTTGATTTATTTGAAGAAAGAGAGTGTACTATGTTATGTAAGTACAGTCAAATCCCGATGAGTCGAATCGCTGGGGACCAAGTAGTAAATTCGACTTATCCATGTATTCGAGACATAGGTATGTCTATGAGGGTAGAAAAAAAGATGATCCAGTCCTAATTCCTCCGCCTAAGCATTTGTTTATCTAATGATTACCATATCACTTATCAGTTCCAGTATGATTAGCACAGACAGTGATTTCCGTAAAATTACTAATCTGCCTTTTGAACTCACCCGTCAATGGCGGAAAGGTGTGAGCCGCGCTGGTTTGTTAATTGGATCAGGTTGCTACACCAATCAACTTCTCATTGACTGACTTCGGCTTATGTATACAAGATTGCTGTTGTTTGAATCTTATGGGACCAAATTTCCTTTTCGAGTCATCGTGTGTATTTATGAGACGAATTCGTGTAACCGGTATTCAAATGATCACAACTATAACAGGGAATGGTCGGGACCGACAGGTACTTCGAGTTATGCATAATATTCGAGACACCGGCATTCGACTCATCGGGATTTGACTGTATATCCTCAGATTTATATCCATAGCCTGAATATTGTTGACATGAGTGTTATACAACAAACAAACGAACAAATGTGTCAGTCTATAGAAATCGCTGGCCGCGTCATACCAAAAGATGTTAAAATATGGTACTTATTGGCCTGGCACTTGACGTTAATGGGTACAACTAGGACTGGCCCTAGATTTTCGAAGCTCTTTTAGCGCTAAGGCAGTCGTAAGTTAATGTTAATGTGTGGCACTTACGACTCTCTTAGCGCTAAGAGAGCTTCGAAAATCTAGACACTGGTCGGCTCGGAGTCAGTATAATGTGTCTGAGTGAGGTATTCATGCTTAACTGTGGCATGGAATCTCAGTGGGCTAGCACTATAAAACCAGCTTAAGTCTGGGCTAGTACAAGCAGCCACACATACACATTCATGCACATCATCATATGAGCGAAATATTCGTAAGTGTGACGTTAAACCCCATTTCAGATCAGATCAGTGTGTAAAAGTAGCAGTAATTCATCATATTTACAAGACATACCCTTCACAATGTATATGTGATAAGAAACATGATAAAAAAGTATACACTTCACGGACAGAAGACATAATTAAACATGATTTTGAAATGATTTTTTGTTTGATACAGCAATTATCAAAGAGGGTTAAGCTTCTAGCTGTGTCATTTGGTTCATCAATTGTGGGATGGTTTTGTCTGGTGCCATGGGCATTTTTAGCATTTTATACGGACAAATATATAAAAAAAGACAATGCAAGTCTATAAATATTTGGCGAGTCTAGATAACTCTTAAAGTCTCTTGTCTCCCATTTATCATATTTTTTAAAGATGTTTGCAGAAATGTGAATCAAATTTCCCCAGGGGTAAATTATCCCAAAACTCTCTTTTCTTGTTGAAACTGGCAAATAGTCTACACAACTATCAGCATTTTCTGTACATCATTACAAGTCAATAAGGATACTTATAACATATTATGATTTGTATAACACTTTTATGTGCCATCTGCAGTACATTATCATACATGTTGTATGTACCTATCTACATCATGATATAACAATAACCTCACTTGAAATATGCCATGCTGCCATGCTCCACAATGCTGTTATGTAGTTTTATACATGTCACGTTATATGTATATTTTGTTATACATAAAAATGGGAAATAAAAGCCTTAAATTTGAAAAACAAAAACTGTATATCAGGGCTCCAGACTTTTTATTTTATCATCAGGAGTACATACTCCTTATTTGTTCAATATAGGAGTACCTGAAAACCTTAAAGGATACATTTAGAGTACTGAATGGAACTTAATGGAGTATTATTTAACCTTGTGTTTCGTTTCATATATGCACTACAACATTGGTATTCGTGTGTAAACAGGTCAATGAACAATAAAACAATACTTTTTCAGTTAAATACATATGTAAGTGATTGTAAGACCATACACCATTTGCTGTAGTGCATATCTGATACGTTTTCTAAATTATTTCCTACCCTATCGTGCTTATTTTTTATCCGTACATACGCTGATACAGCCCTTACCTGGAGCCCTGGTATATTCTGTAAAATATGGTTATTTTTTAGACTAGATGTTAGTCAATAGAGAATACTACAGAGGTCTCATAAGATATGAATTATACGAAACTCGTGACCTTCCCACAGAAAGGTCACAAGTTTCGTATAATTCGTATCTTATGAGATTGAGTGTGGTATTTTATTTATTACCCACGTCTTACATACAATAAATTGACAAAATAGCATATTTTTGTTATTTTCATGGTTTCAAACTGAAACCGGTTTCATAAAAAGGTTGCAGAAGAATTTTGTTCTGTAGTACACTTTTTGCATGACATCACACTGTAATGACGTCACTACTCCTTGCTCGTCTGCCCCCTTGGTAACCGATGTCATGATGCATGTCAGTTGTCATTGCCTTGTACAGCCTCCTACATGAAACTACTCCGTAGCACCCCGTTTCTTGGTTTGCAGTTGCTTCACTCGGCTAACGTCACTGGTGGAAACATTGCGTTTATGTTTTTCGACGGATATACTGTCTCAGTCCGACCAACAACTAAACAGCGACACGGTAACGTTCGCAATGTTTACATTCCCACAATGCATATAAGTTGTAGAATGAATGAATTCACGTGTTTGTTATGAATGAAAAAGTAGTTCCGACACAACGTGACCTAATTGAGAGGTCATCGGTTATCCAATCAAATCGTTAGAATCTCAGGTCAAGTCGTTACGACACAGGTCAACGCGATACGACACTCGTGTGACATACGCGATCAGTATGCAACTACCCATATGTTGACCACGTGGGTAATAAATGGCGTCATGTGTTGTAGCTGTTGTATTGAATGTTGTACTAAATTCCCTCAGAAACTATGGGGAGTCATCTTCCTCATTGTTACTTTCAGGTTGCTGGTGAATCTCAGCGTTACCTGCTACAATGTACCACCAGTCCTGTAAGTCTGATCGCCCTCATGACAGACTGTACAGCAAGATCCGTTCCTGCTTCGTTGAGAATGTGGACCCCCGTCCGCTTCGGTTCTACATCGAGGCCTTGACGCCAGCTGATGAGGTAAGAAACCTTTATGTAGTCATGGAAACCACAGTGGCTGAGTGGGTTAGATGACTGACTTTGTGTGTTGGCGAGTAGGTGTCTACAGTATTAAACTGTTAACCATAGCGATTACTCTTGTCAGTATCGGTGAAAGTGTGTCGGTGTACGGAGCCGGATGTAGCTAGGGACGCTGGGGTATATTAAATGGCGCATGATCCAAACATGATGTGTTGTGTCATTGGTGCGAAGGAGAGTGAATTACCTGGGTGCTAACTTGGTGTCAGAAGTGTGAATGTTTGTCCACATCAGCCAAGGAAGATAACTGTGGGTTATTTTTGGTACGGGTCAGTGAGAAAACTTTATTAACAAAGAAACTTTGTGACGGTCTTGGTGACCTTGACAAGTTTTCCTGTGCCGACTATGATGGAGGGGGTGGACGAGAGAGAAGCTCTCATGACCTTTGTGACTGATAACAGTGGTACAAGCCTAAACGTAACTGTACATATGACGGTACATCTAATGATGCCATTGCACAATGGGTAAACATTCCCATGCGTATCGCCACACTTTCACCGATACTGCACTGACTAATCCGTATGGTTAACAACACAATACATGGGGGTAGTGCAGACTGTATATCTTTTTTAAGATACCAAATTTAATTCTTACTGACTTTTAATCTAAGTCAGAAACAAAAAAGATGATGTCAGTGACCTAAATTAACAATCTTTATTCAGGGCTAACTGACACTGCCTGTGCCCCTGAGTTAAGAACGATGTTTACATTCAAGTTAAATATCTTCTCTTTGTTGTTTGACCAGTGAAGATCCGGATTAGAATTTGTCTTCAGCAACCCATGCTTGTCATAAGAGGCAACTAACAGGATCGGAGGGTCAGAGTCTCTGACTTGGTTGACACGTCATCGTATCCCAATTGCATAAATGGATGCTTATGCTGTTGGTTCCAGATGTTGATGAATAATTTGTCATTTTCAGATTGCATAGTTACTTGTACAAAATTATGTATTTTCAGGAACGTATTCTGGAAGCATACAATAACAATGGACGATCTGAAGCAGCATCTCTGATGCTGAGGTTGCTTATACAACGTCCTGACTGGGTGGAAGATCTCTTGAAGGCGCTGCGGATTCCCGTCATAAATCTCGGTCATGTGGCTGATGAGATAGAGAGGAGGAGGTGTTAGTATATTTGCGTCTCTCTGCTGTACATATTGAAAAGGATATACAGTTGAACACCATTGTGTCAAACTCTGATGACTCGATATCTCGGTTGTCTCGATATAACGTCTCAGTCCCAGCAAAATCCATCATAATTTATCATTATTCAAGCTCTTTAACTTGATACGGATGTCTTGAAATTTCGGATATCTTGATATAATTTCATGGTTCCAACAAGCAAAATTACCCTTTTTTAACTCGATATTTGCAAAGAAACTCGATATTCGCCTACCTTTCATGGGCAAGTATCCCTTTGACCTGAGGATGTTTTCACACATTTACACTCGGTGCGACATGAATCAAAGGGATGCGGTAGTGTAAACTAATTAGGGCTAACTGAGTGGAAGGTGTCACTTGTTTGTTATTTAATTAGGATTAATTAAAACGAATTAATTATAGGAAGTACTCACTGTTACGACTAAACACTACTGATAACGGATTATAGTTTCAAATCAAAACATACTGAGAATTCAATGAGGGTTTTGTGTAATCACGTCATTAGCATGTGATTGTCGAGTTGTTACTAAATGATATGCAGGGCTCCAGATAAGGGCCGTATCGGCGTATGTACGGATAAAAAATATGCGTGATACAGTAGGAAATAATTTAGAAAACATAGCAGATACGCACCACTGCAATGGTGTATGGTCTTAGAATCATTTACAGACATATTTATCTGAAATATTATTGTTTAACTACCTGTTTACACAAGACTAGCAATGTTGTAGTGCATATATATATATATGAAACAAAACACAAGATTACTGATAAGCCATTAACTTCCATTCAGTACTCTACATGTACTCTTAAGGTTTTCCCAGTACTGATGTATTGAAAAATAAGGAGTACATACTCCTGATGTTGAAAACTTATCTGGAGCCCTGGATATGTGATGATATGACCTGGTCGGATGTCTCAAGTTTGGATAACTCAATATTTTTTCTTGGTCCCATGAATATCGAGACAATGGTGCGCACTTATATACAAACATAAGACTTAGTACAGTAAGAATATAATAAAGTGCCCTTCCATGTAAAGTTATCAGAGATGGTAAAAACATATACAAGCAGGCATTTATACATATTTAAAAGCGATAGTTTGTCCATTTAAATATGCTTTCAATGTTGTAGTATTTATATTAAGAAAGTAAGTTTGGGCGTTATGAAAGAACTTGTGTTTAAAAAGGACACATAATATTTTGTAGTTTGACAATGTTAAATGTTGGACACTTTAGTTGTAACATTTGTAATAAGAGCTACTCTAAAATCATCACATCAAGGACACTGTAATTAAACATGCTCATTGTCTTCAATAAATTCATTACAGTTAAAGCAAACTCTATCATCAACATTTAAATTTGTATATCTGCCCCTTTCTATTCTTAAGTTGCAGTACCACATGTACATTTGACAAAGGCCAAACAGTAATTTCCGGTGCATAAAAGTGCTAACATAACTTTCACAACAAGAATAATCTTTAAAAGATTTTATATCATTTTCATATCTTTCCATAAACATTCTGCCAATGTTTAACATAGCTTGTAATCTTTGTACTATTGAGTGAGTGAGTTGGATTTTACGCTGCTTTTAGCAATATTCCAGCAATATCACAGTGGGAACATCAGAAATGGGCTACAAAATTGTATCCATATGGGGAATCAAACCCGGGTCTTCAGCATGATGAGCGAATGCTTTAAGCACAAAGCAACTCCACCACCACAATAAATTGATGTAGAAAGGATAACTGCATAATTATAGTTTTCCACAGACAACACTGTCTTCAAAATACTAATTTATTTCATTTGTGCAATGGTCCATTATGTTTAGCACTATCTATGTGTACTAACCAGCCATTTCAACACATTACCAGGTGAGGTGTTTACATAAGCAAATTTTGCTTCTTATCAATCCAGATTTCTTTTGACATAAAAATATGTTTAAACTAAATGGATTTGGCTGGTCAAGCATGGTGACTAGGTTGCTTGCATGTCATTGTAACTGTCATTTCAACAACTTCCATCCAGAACTAGATGTCCCCTCAGTTACATACGTCAGTCATTTACCAGTTGACATTCTCATCACAGGAAGTCATGTTGGTCTATGACGGTCATTTTAACAATTTTCATCCAGAACTCTGGATTTGAGGATAATTTTAAGTTCTTAATAACAACTCCTGTTCATTTTGATATTGAATTAAATTGTCAGATGCAGTTCTCATGTTTGCCTTGCATTTGTTTTAGGTGAACAATTGACAAGCCTTTGCATGTGTTTGTGATAGGAACCAATTGAGGGACAGGATATGCTCATCTTTCATGAATACAGTGTAGCATCTCTTTCACATAGCGATTCATGAACACGTGCACATTATATTGTCAGAATTATACAGTTAAATTATTTTTTAATTGTATAGTGAGGTGAGGTGAATTTGGGTTTAACATCGTGCTTGATAATATTTCGCTCATATGACGACATGCATGCGTGTGTATGTGCGGCTGCTTGTACTAGCCCGGACATAAGCTGGTTTTATAGTGCTAACCCACTGAGATACCATGCCACAGTGAAGCATGAATACCCCACTCAGACACATTATACTGACTCCGAGCCGACCAGTCCTTGTTGTACCCATTAATGTCGAGTGCCAGGCAGGGACCAACAAATACCATAATTTTATTTTATTGAATAGTATTGTTGCTTTTTCTAGCATACAATGAGTAAACAAGTGACAGTGTGTATGACATGTTTTTGTCCCCCAGGTGAGGTACTGATGGTGATGGACATTGATTGTGAGGAGGAGCCCATGGATGTAGATGGAGAAGAGCCCAAAACCTCAAATGAGATGTTCGACATATTTAAGGACATTGTCAACACAATCTTCAAGGAGTATGTTGCAACACCATACCAGCTACAGCAAGCTCTGAAACTTTTTGGACAGGTATTGTGACATGTATTTAAAGTTTTTATTAACAATATAAGATAATTTGTTTGGTATAAAAAAATGGTAAATTATGCGAACATTTATTCTTACCAGATTGGTATATTTGATATGGAATATATATTTGTTACAAATATGGATGAATGCATTTATTTTCTGATGGTATGTAATTGTAAATGTAAACTGTAAATTTATCATAGATGAATGCATCCACATATTCATGGTGTATAAAGGAAACATTTATCATGGAAAAATGCATTCACATTATGGTGGTATGTAAATGATACATTTACTATGAATGAATGCATTCACATTATGATGGTTTACAAATGATACAGGTATGGTAGAATGCATTCATTGTGTATTCTGGTGGTATGCAAATGATATATTTACCATGGTTAAATACATTCATGTAATGATGGTATGTAAATGAAACATTTATCATGGATAAATGCATTGACATTATAGTGATATGTAAATAATATATTTACCATGGTTAAATGCATTCATGTTCTGATGGTATGTAAATGATATATTATACCATTGATGAATGCATTCATGTAATGATGGTATGTTTATGATATATTTACCATGGATGAATGCATTCACATTCTGATGTATGTGAATGATGCATTTACCATGGATACATAAATGCATTTATATTCTGATTGTTTGTAAATGATATATTTACCATGGATAAATGCAATCATATTATGATGGTATGTATATGATACATTTGTCATGGATAAATGCATTCATGTAGTGATGGTATGTAAATCTTTTATTTACCATGGATGAATGCATTCACTTCTGATGGTATGCAAACGATATATAAAATTTATCGTGGATGAATGCATTCACTTCTGATGGTATGCAAATGATATATTTATCGTGGATGTTTTCATCTTCTGGACAGCACTGTTGTTGTCATATTCAGAAACTTGAGGTCTAAATGATGTCGAACTGAAAATGACATCATGAGGAAAAGTGTTTCAGTTATAAATCACATGATACATAGTGCTTCAGAATAGACACAGATTTTCCACAATAGTGTAAATATCTAAATGCCACATACATGCCTGGCTGTCTACTGGAATAATGCCACATAGTACTATTATCATTTATGTCTTTTTCCTGTATTAAGATAGGCTAAACAAACTACCGGTGTAAGATTTTTGTCCAAGAATTTTATGCGCTTGTGTATATAAACCAACTTCATATTGATCTTCTGTAACCCATGCTTGTCGTAAGGTGCAACTAACAGAATACGGTGGTCAGGCTCACGAACTTGGTTAGTGCATGTCATAGTTTCCGATTTGTGTAGACCATGATGCTTATGATGGCCATCATGGGATTGTCTGATCCAGAATTGATGACGTTTAGGCCACCAGCATATTGCTGGAGTATTGCTGAGTGGTCATAAACCAACAAACAAACAGAAAAGTTTTTCCAGGTTAAAGTCCAGATCCAACAGATCCAGTGTCTTGAGACAGATTCCACTGTATCGAAGGTTTATACTCAGAAAAATATAACCAGCTCACATTTTAATAACAGAAAAGAACTAATTAAAATTCATAATTATAAGGTAAACATTCCCTGTGGATTATGGTAGCCTTATTCCTGTGGATACACAGAACGGATACAGAAAATCAAGAAATTTTAACACTAAGTCATAACTATTCCTAGTGGTATACCTAATCTACCCTGAGTTATCTCCCTTGATCCTGACATCACTATTGTTCTAGAACCCTTCATAATATTTCTGTATGGTCCAAGATTTCAATTCTTCATTACATAGGTCAGTTACAAATCGCATTCCATTTAATGTTCAATCGTATTGCTGTTTGCATTATATTAGCTATATTTTCATCGTATTTAGGGTTTTGAAGTTTTCCGCCCTTTTTTGATTGACAAGTATGGCGCAGAGCAAATGCCTCCAATGTCAGAAATTCATGGCAGATGTTGATCCCCACTCTCTGTGTGCTTCCTGTTATAAAGGCTTACCTTGCTCAATTTCGGATCGATGCTTATTGTGTCAGGACATGTCTGAGGAAGATTGGATGTTGATGGACAAATCTTGTTCCTTAGTTAGGAAGTGTAAACAGATCCAGTTTCTTGAGACAGATTCCACTGTATCGAAGGTTTATACTCAGAAAAATATAACCATCTCACAGGTTAAGAACAGAAAGGAACAAATTAAAATTCATTTCTGGTTTGCAGTTGAGCGATGTCCTGTTCCGAAGTAGAAGTTTTGGTTGCCTCGAACTCAGCTTCCAAGTCAAGAGTATCAGGTCACTTTACAACCTGCGCAGATTGCACCAGGGGGAGCACTGTGTGATGCTCTTTCTCAGGGTATCCTCAACACAGCAACACAACAGAGAATCCAGAAGGAGGCTGCTAGACGAGGGGTGAAGGTCAGGAATTTGTCTCTGAAACTTACAATATCGGAAGACGATTTCTCTGAATGTGAACATTTTCTGGACTACAGTGGTAAGATTCCATTATCCTTCTACAGAGTTAGTAAGTATGGTTTTACGCCGGCTTTTAGCAGTATTCCAGCAATATCATGGCAGGGGACACGAGAAATGAGCTTCAGACATTGTAAACATGTGGGGAATCGAACCCAGGCCTTTGGCGTAACGAGGGAACGCTTTAACCACTGGGTTTACCCCAGTGCCCCTCCACAGAGTGAGTGAGCCAGTAAATGAGATGGTTTATGCCACTCTCAGCAATATTTCAGCTGTATCACATTAGGGTAAACCAGAAATGGGCATGGTACCCAGTAGGGCTGGGACAGGTAACCCGGATACCCGTAACCCGGATACCCAGGACAATACCTTGACCTGTTATGATCATGTGTCTAATAGATTAAACTATGTAATATACTCATTCAAAGAAATATGGGGACACTCATTTACTTTTTGATAAGTTAAGAACGCCTATTGAAATCAAAGCACAACTAATGTTATACGATATTTTAGCTTTTATTCCATGAATATGACAGTTCTGTTAGAATCATGAGATGTATAGCACAACAATATTGAACCGAATGACAAGGGGTCAGTTTGCAAAGTCACATGGTCAATTGCAGATCAGTAGTGCATGTGTCCACCCTGTTTCTGACACACTCTGCACATCTAGCTCTCATCCCCCTCACTAATGTCCTCAATGATGGCTGTGGTATTGCTTGCCACTCTTGGTCCAGAAATCTGAACAGTTGGTCAGTGTGTACTGGCGGAGGATGATTCTGAGGGATACGCCTATTGAGGATGTCCTAAACGTGCTGTATGGGAGCAAGGTCTGGAGAATATGCTTTCCACTGCATCCTCACAACACCTCTTTGATTAAGGAAGTCTGTAACCAGACATGCCCGATGTGGCCTGGCGTTGTCGTCTTGGAACATCGATTGCGGTCCAATGACGTTTAATGACAGAAGGACAAGTGGACCAAGAATCTCATCTCTGTACCGTAAACCAGTTAGGTTGCCACGAATACAGTACAGAGGAGTCCTGTGTTGAAGACTGAATGCACCCCACACCATGACGGATCCTCCACCAAACCGGTCACATTCACTAACGTTCACTGAAAGCGTTCTCCTCGCCTTGTGAACTCCCGCGCACGACCATCATGAAACTGCACATTGTATCAGGACTCATCGGAAAACAACACCCTTGACCACTGTTGACGATTCCATTGCTAATGAACCCGATATCATGCTTCCCGTGCAGTTCTGTGATGAGGACATAACGATTGTCTGACAGCTGGACGTCTGTTATGGATGCCAGCAGCACGTAAACGGTTACGAATGGTCTGGGAGCTGATGTTGACATTCGTGGCATTTCTCAACTGCAGGCGAAGAGCATTTGCTGTGACGAATCTCTGCTGCAGAGCTGACGAAATGACATAACGGTCATCAGCATGCACCTTCCTTAACGGGAGCGGTCCTGCACCTTCCCTGTCTTCTGAAACCTTTCAAAAAGTCGATGAATCACAGGGAGGGATTTCTGAAGATGTCAAGCAACCTTATGAATCGAAACGCCATCCTGAAGCCACCCAAACGCCCTTGCTCGATCAAATTCACTTAACGGTTGTCGCATTGTGCACTGACAAAATCATCAATGACACAGTTGGAAAGTGCCCAACTTCTTACACCCATCCACACTAATGATTCATCGAGATCATGTGTTCATTTGGATCGCATTTGTGTTCTTTGTTCCCATCCAGACTAAGGATTATGATCTCTACAGTAAACATTTTTGGCATCATTTATGAAATTTTCCTGTTTATTTTGGTTAATGCAGAAAAAATAAAGAAAAAACATGCAGTTCTTGGGGTGTTTTTTGCAAATTGCAAATTGCACAGGATGACTGGTATGTTAGGAACATAAATTTCTTGTCGTCTTTAAAATAAATTCAATTGTGGCTTGGAACGAGCATGTAATGTTCATGAAATGTAACAGACAAGACCAACCTTGTGAAAAATATTGTTAATGCAAAAAGTGTTCCAGAATTGTTTGTGTTCGATTATGACTGACTGACTGAGTTTGGTTTTACGCCGCTTTTAGCAATATTCCAGCAACATGATCGATTGCTTGGTCGTTTAGTCACTGCGACCAATCTTCGATTGTTTCAATTAATGGGACTACCACTAATGTGAACACTACCAAAATGACAGGTGTTCCCATATTTCTTTGAATGAGTATATGTTATTCTTTCATGATTTAAAGGTTTTATTGATTTTGAGGATTTAGACATAATTACAGTCACTTCTTTTGAATATAATACATGGTTAAGATACTGAAAAACTCCAAATTTTAGCCTCCGAGGTGAACAATATACTGCCATTTGTTACAATTTTGATGTCAGCAGGGGTGGAAATAACCCATTGCCTGAAGTCTGAGTCCAGTGGGGTTTTTTGTCGGGCAAGCAAATTTGTATATCACACTGTACCGGTGTCCAGTTGACTTTCGAATGTTAATTATGTTGTTTATTTAATAAATCAACAAGAAAACGGCCGGTATAGTGGACAAATTAACTTTTGTTGTAGAATTTATTTTATTCACACAATTTACAAATTTAGGACTTTATTCATGATCTGCTTCTATATGATGTTCAGGACGCTGTTTTGTTAATAATCCATGCATAAACATGTCCCCACTCACCAATGGAATACATTCATTTCATTCAGACATTTTTTGGCATTTTTGCTCAAAGTTGATCAATAATTGATCAATATTTAGTTAATAATTATCGATAATAATTATCGATCAATCTCTGTGATCTATATCAATAACCAGCCGTACAATGTTATAGAAATAACTTTGTATTTTAGCTGATGGCTTACCAAAAGGAGTAGTTTTTTTCGTGTCATTCACTGTTGAAACTAATATCTTAATGGTTACAAATTTGTTTACTTTTCTTTTTTCTCAGATTTGCCATCTCCAAGCAATTATGTGACAGCCCTTACAAGTCCTGTCGACGCATTTGGTGAAGAACAACAATTGAATGCTCAGATGGTTCTTGACAATCTACCTCCCTCGTATCAGAAGTTTCTTGAGGGAGTAATCGGTCTAACCTATGACACCTCAGAACTGCAAACTAAAGTCATGTCATTATTGACAAAGCCGTTATGTCATATGATAAAGGAAAGCATGGATCGCCTTCATGCATTCTTTAGCATTTATGAAAGTGTACAGAAGGATTTGACTAAAATTGGGTTGAATATTTTGATAAGGTCCTTCATGACAAAGGAGAGAAATGTTGACACAGTGCAGTTGAAGCAAGGAGACAAATGGCAGGTGGTATGGAGTGATGACGAGAAGGAGTTTGCCCTCAGTCAGAAGATTGAAGCAGACCTGTTAGATCCTAGATTGTCCAATCCACCTGAAACCTTGATATCCCAAGGGTGGTTAACCTTGACCTCTGGAGAAGGTCACGTGTACTGCATCCCTGGGTCAGTGCGAAGGGCGTATCTGCTTTGTTACTTCCTTCCTCGCATGGTTGACAAGCTGCCATTGACCCTGTTCTTGGACCCAAACTTTACACTTGAATCTTCTGTTGATTTCAGTCTGGTCACATTTGTTGGCATCTTTCTGGCCTATACAGTGTGTTATAGTGGACCATTGCCATGGTTACCTCGTTTACCCACCTCACTTCTGTACTTCCCTGATGTTGCCCTGTTCCTGTCTTCTGTTAGGGCCAGTGAAACATCTACAGAAGTCAAAGACAGTCTAAAAATTGTCCTGCAGCAGTTCGAGTTTGAATCTTTCCTCGCTCACCACAAGTCGTCTGATGTGGACAGGCACTGGAGGACATGGAAAACGGTTGCAGCAAACTTTGGCCTTCAAAAGATTGAGTTGGTCAACAAGTCCAATCTTGACAGCAAGACTTTTGAAGAGGGTATGCTGGTTTTGAAGGAGACACTGCATGTTGGAAAGCGTAATGTTATATCTCTTTCTTCCAAAACATCTGATTATAACTTCCAGCTTGCTTTCAGATGTGTGGCTCTCCTTGACCTCCTACAACCCATGGAACGTCGAGATATTTCGTCAGTCTGGAGAGCAGATAGTGCTAATACTGTTGTGGCACGTAGTGGGGAATTGCAATTAGGGCAATTAGGGGCATCGCTAAAGGCTATAGGGGACTTGCTAGGGGGAACCTTTTTGGATAGCATGCAATCTGAAGAGGGGACAGCGGTAGAGTCTATTGGAAAATTGGATGAGGGGAAAACTGTAGACGAAAGTGATCCAATGCCAACAAGTCATGAACCTTTGATCCAGCAATATTCAGGCTCTTCTGAAAAAGATTCCATTCTTGAGTCAGCTGGTTGCCTTCCTTTGGATGCAGGTCTTACCAAATGTTTCACCTCCACAAGAGCATCGGACTGGTCGTTTAAGATGGATATGTCAAACACATCTCTGGACAAGGAGCAGGTATCACTGCTGTGTACATTCCTGCCTCAGTTTGATCATATCACCAGTTACATCTTTGACAACTCAGGTCTAGACACATGCAGGGTAAAGCAAATTATAACAGCACTGAACCCAGCCATAGTGAGGGGCCTGTCATTATTAGGCTGCTCATTAAATCTAGATGAAGGAGAAATAGGCTTGTTGAGATTTCATTACATGGAATCGTTGGATTTAGAAAGTACAGGCTTGACAGATAGCATGATGCCTGTTCTTGTCAAGGAAATAGGAAACATGGGCAAATTGAAGGCTTTCAATGTTGGCAGCAACAAAATTTCACCAAGTGGATTTGCAATACTTTCATCAGCTCTCATAACCAAATCACATTTGAAAGCACTCAGAATTCACAACATCAATTTGGGTGATGTTGGAGGATCCATTCTTGGTCAGCTGGTGTTTGCTCTGAAGCACCTCGAGATCCTTAGCATCTGGGGGTGCAACATAGGGGACGAAGGTGTCCGCATCCTCTCAGAGCAGCTTCCAGTTCACGGGTCTCTGAAGAGACTGTCAATGCGGAGCAACAACATGACAAGCAGTTCGTCACCTGAGCTGTGCAAGAAGCTGTCCGCCTGCAGGAACATACAGTTTTTCGACTGCAGCAGCACAAGTGGAGACACTGAGAATCTCCCTGAGAATCTCCTGATCCTGTTCCAATCTTCATCTGCATGGGACCATGTCAGTTTATGGGACTTTGACCTCGGTCAAATACCATTATTCAACAATCCGTCTGATGTCCAAAATCTGTCCAACGTTACTTTTCTCTGTCTGCAGAAGAATAGCATGTCCGATGACAAGATAAAGCAGCTATCAACATGCCTGTTTTTCTTCAGATTCATACAGCATCTGAATTTGAGGGAGAACATGGTAGGGGATGAGGGGGCGGAGGCTCTGGTCAGGGCCCTAGAGAACAAGGAACATCTGGAGGAACTGTTGCTGGACTGGAACATCTTTAGTCTAGTGGGAGGCAGGGCTTTGGTTCAGCTTGCTCTGGAGCTGGACAGCCTCAAGTCATGTGACCTGTCTTATAGCTTTCAGTTAGCTCCCCCAGAAAAACGAAGTTTGGCCCAGATGGTAGGAAATCCAGTTCCAGAGGAAGATGGAGATTTGTTCGTGGCACAGAGAGGCCAGCTTGTGTTAAAGATATAGTGTGGAGCAAAGAAACACATCTGTAAGATCGGTTGGTTGGTTTGTTGTTTAATGCTGCACTCTTCAATATTCCAGCTGTCTGTAAATAATTGAGTCTGGACCAGACAATCCATTGATCAACAGCATGAGCATTGATCTATGGAATTGGGATACGAAGACGTGTTTTGTCAACCAAGTCAGCGAGCCTGACCACCCGATCCTGTTAGTCGCCTCTTGCATGGGTTGCTGAAGACCAATTCAAACCCAGATCTTCATGGGTTTCCTTTGTATAAAACAGAGAAAACCTATCTGATGTAGGTGCATCACTTCAGTCTTTCTCCCACATAAAGCTGACGTGCTGTGATATATCTAAAATACTGTTCCAAGCAGTGCCAAACCCATTTCATTCAATCACTCAGCATTTGAAGGAGAGTGAATGAGTGAATAATGTATGCTGACTCAGCAGTATTTCAGCTTTATGATTGAGTCACACAAATATTCAAGTCTGAATCACTTTTTAAAAACATCACGAGCAAACTGGGTAAAATGGAACACATAATACGCTAAGTCACAGCGGCTGATGGAGATATTTGGTTGTATTAGGCAGGAAAGGGTTCACTCTTGTTTCTTTGGAGTAGCAATACCAGACTCTTTAGAAAAGTGTTTGGGAAATGATCACTCTTGTTTCTTGCCAGTTTGATATCTGTTTGATATGGCAATGCAAGTCTTTTATTGGGCAGGAAAGGGTTCACTCTTGTTTCTTTGGAGTAGTCATTCCAGACTCTTTAAGGACAGGAAACGATCTCTCTTGCCTGTTTGATATGGCAATACAAGGCTGTTATTTAGCAAAGACAGGTTCACAAGGTTAGCACAATCTTGAAAAAGCCTGAAATATGGACATTTCACCCTAATGAAGGCCCTAAATTTGTTTTAGCATTGAATATGCCCTTATTGGCTGCAATTTGCCCTGAAAATGCCCCATATTATCAAAACTTGTTTAGTTATGATTTTATAGAAAACTAATACACTCTGTCAAAAAAGAAACGCAACCCCTGTCTTCACATATAAGAGACTCAGTAGAATAAGGTATTGTTTGCAAATGCAATTTGTGTGATAGGTGAGTATATCATGTACGTTGTTCTTGAACGTAAGCATTGGAACACACCGATTAGCATGCATAGGGTTCTCTTATTGTCTCATTTCTTCACCATTCTTGAAGTTTTCACGGTGACTACGTCAAAAGCCAAATGCATGTGCAAATTATGTAAATGACGGTTAATGATGGCATATAAAAGTCTGTGCGAGTTCGTATCTCACTCCATCATTCGTCATCGAAGTACAAAGTCGAAAATGCCATGGTTGAGTGCTGCAGATAGAAATATCGCCATTGTCGTCTTGAAGCTGAAGAAAGTTTCAGAAGGGTTGCATGACACTTCAATGTACACAAAACAATGATTTCCCGACTTTGAAACCGTTTCAACCAATTCAGTTTGACTCAAGATCGCCCAGGAAGTGGTAAGCCCCGTATCAATACGCCAGCTCAAGATCGGTTTATCCGGCTCCATCACCTACGTAATCGGCAAGTGAAACGGACTGACACTGCAACACAGTGCAACACAAGTGCCAGGTTTGAGGAGAGTGTCAGCACTAACGATCGGGAACCATCTGCAAGAGGCCGGTCTACGAGCATCATGGTGTGGGCAGCCATATCATAAAACCAAAGATAAGACCTGGTGATCATTCGTGGCAATCTGACAGCTCAACGCTACATCAACGAAATTTTAAAACCTCACCTCCTACCGATCATCGATCAACAGAGGGAGGTTTTGCAACACGATAATGCCAGACCTTACACTGCATGTGCAACATTGAATTTCTTACAGAATTCTAACGTGAATGTGTTGCCATGGCCCTCCAGATCCCCAGACCTCAACCCCATAGATCATCTGTGGGATTTTCTTGGCAGACGTAGACTGCCGCCACAGACACTGAGACAACTAGCCGTTGCACTACACGAGGAGTGGATAGCAATCCTTCAGGAAAGGATCCAACGAATGATCCGTTCTGTTCCAAGAACGTGCACACAGTGATTGCAGCTCGTGGTGCCCACACGAGGTACTAAGAAAGACTGTTGAGATATTAAGCTCAAACTTGAATATCTAGACTATCATTGGGCCATATTTCACTGTTCTGTCTTCTAAATTAAATAAATTGTGTCATCTTAAATTTCACAAATATAATCTTCAAAATACAGCAGTTGCGTTTCTTTTTTGACAGAGTGTACATAATATAAATACCAATGACAGTTGATTAATCTCCATCAAGAAGCTTACCCAGTGCAGTGATGCAGCTTAGAGTTATTTCCCTCTGATTGTCGGCCCACATTTGACCAACTTGTGTGTGTGTGCATCTACTTATGTGCTATATATGTTTCTATAGTTCCTTAAAATGTTTGTAGGGGCGGTGGGGTAGCCTAGTGGTTAAAGCAGTGGTTCGTCACGCCGAAGACCCGGGTTCGAATCCCCACATGGGTACAATGTGTGAAGCCCATTTCTGGTGTCCCCCGCCGTGATGTTGCTGGAATATTGCTAAAAGCGGCGTAAAACCAAACTCAGTCAGTCAGTTAAAATGTTTGATGGGTCTTGAAAATCCTCCTAAAAGGCCTTTAATTTGATGAAGAATAAGGACAATTTTATGGATATACAACTTCTTTATTCTGTATGAGCTTATTATTTGATGGCTGATAATTTATATGAGCCCTGGTCCAGTCTTGTTTGTTTGGTATTGCAACTTGAGATCTGTAGAGTGGTCTTGTGTTGAGAGCTGGGACACCTAATCAAGAGAGGTCTGATTTAGAAAAATTTCTCTACACCTAGTAGGAATATAGTCATTAGTAATATGTTATGCCAAGCTTGCTATATTTATTCATTACCAGTATAGCTTGATATATATTTATTGGAGTTGTACAATAACAGATGTATTAGCAACCTCTTGTCATTATATTCTTTGTGTTGTGGAGATTGAGTGGCGTGGGTTTCCAGGGTTTACGCTCCACCCAGGTACCCCCAGTGCCAGGGTTGTAGTGTAATGGACAGAGGGGCTGCCTAGAAAGTTGTTCAGTCCTTGTTGAAAAATGGTTCTTGTTATTTCCCTGTCTGGTGATCTGCATGAAGGGATAGCAGGGACTGGTGAATGGTTGAAATGCTGCATATTATCTATGTGGGCTAGCTTGTGAAACTAGTTTAACTTTGGACTCATTTTCCAAAGGGCACCGATAACTTTCTTGCTATACTCATTTCACAAGTGTTCTTGGCAGACAACAGTGGCAGTCTGTAATTATAGAAAATTGAACTTGGGAATTTATTTACTCTTGGGAAATGATTGCTTTTCCTCTTTTTTAGCACTGGTTGCTGAAGACTGTCAGACATCACAGTCCATCACCCTCACTACCATTGTTGCCAGTAAGTGTATTGTTGAATATTTCATGTACGTTAGAAGCAATGAGACTGGCTGATAAACATCCGTATCTCAATACAAACACTACTCATCACCATCACTCCTACCACCTACTCCAGCCCCTAAAGTATTGAAGCATACTCCGGGTCAGATGGACACAGTGAGGCTTTAACCTGCTGTACACCTTTTTGTCAACATGAGCATCTCCCTCTGTCACCCTCACTGCCATCTTCACCATCCCCCATAGTATTGACGCATACTCCGGGTCAGATGGACACAGTGAGGCTTTAACCTGCTGTACACCTTTGTGTCAACACAAGCATCTCCCTCTGTCATCCTCACTACCATCTTCTCCATCCCCCATAGTATTGACGCATACACCGGGTCAGATGGACACAGTGTGGCTTTAACCTGCTGTACACCTTTGTGTCAACACAAGCATCTCTCTCTGTCATCCTCACTACCATCTTCTCCATGCCCCATAGTATTGACGCATACTCCGGGTCAGATGGACACAGTGTGGCTTTAACCTGCTGTACACCTTTGTGTCAACACAAGCATCTCCTCTGTCACCCTCACTACCATCTTCACCATCCCCCATAGTATTGACGCATACTCCGGGTCAGATGGACACAGTGAGGCTTTAACCTGCTGTACACCTTTGTGTCAACACAAGCATCTCTCTCTGTCACCCTCACTACCATCTTCACCATCCCCCATAGTATTGACTCATACTCCGGGTCAGATGGACACAGTGAGGCTTTAACCTGATGTACACCTTTGTGTCAACACAAGCATCTCTCTCTGTCATCCTCACTACCATCTTCACCATCCCCCATAGTATTGACGCATACTCCGGGTCAGATGGAGGCTTTAACCTGCTGTACACCTTTGTGTCAACACAAGCATCTCTCTCTGTCATCCTCACTACCATCTTCTCCATCCCCCATAGTATTGACGCATACTCCGGGTCAGATGGAGTGAGGCTTTACCCTGATGTACACCTTTGTGTCAACACAAGCATCTCTCTCTGTCACCCTCACTACCATCTTCTCCATCCCCCATAGTATTGAAGCATACTCCGGGTCAGATGGAGTGAGGCTTTACCCTGATGTACACCTTTGTGTCAACACAAGCATCTCTCTCTGTCATCCTCACTACCATCTTCTCCATCCCCCATAGTATTGAAGCATACACCGGGTCAGATGGACACAGTGAGGCTTTGACCTGTTGTACACCTTTGTGTCAACACAAGCATCTCTCTGTCATCCTCACTACCATCTTCACCATCCCCCATAGTATTGAAGCATACTCCGGGTCAGATGGAGTGAGGCTTTAACCTGCTGTACACCTTTGTGTCAACACAAGCATCTCTCTGTGTCACCCTCACTACCATCTTCACCATCCCCCATAGTATTGAAGCATACTCCGGGTCAGATGGACACAGTGAGGCTTTACCCTGCTGTACACCTTTGTGTCAACACAAGCATCTCTCTCTGTCATCCTCACTACCATCTTCTCCATCCCCCATAGTATTGACGCATACTCCGGGTCAGATGGAGTGAGGCTTTAACCTGCTGTACACCTTTGTGTCAACACAAGCATCTCTCTCTGTCATCCTCACTACCATCTTCTCCATCCCCCATAGTATTGAAGCATACTCCGGGTCAGATGGACACAGTGAGGCTTTACCCTGCTGTACACCTTTGTGTCAACACAAGCATCTCTCTCTGTCATCCTCACTACCATCTTCACCATCCCCCATAGTATTGAAGCATACTCCGGTCAGATGGACACAGTGAGGCTTTACCCTGCTGTACACCTTTGTGTCAACACAAGCATCTCCCTCTGTCATCCTCACTACCATCTTCTCCATCCCCCATAGTATTGAAGCATACTCCGGATCAGATGGAGTGAGGCTTTACCCTGATGTACACCTTTGTGTCAACACAAGCATCTCTCTCTGTTATCCTCACAACCATCCCCCATAGTATTGAAGCATACTCCGGGTCAGATGGAGTGAGGCTTTAACCTGCTGTACACCTTTGTGTCAACACAAGCATCTCTCTGTCATCCTCACTACCATCTTCTCCATCCCCCATAGTATTGAAGCATACTCCGGATCAGATGCAGTGAGGCTTTAACCTGCTGTACACCTTTGTGTCAACACAAGCATCTCCCTCTGTCATCCTCACTACCATCTTCTCCATCCCCCATAGTATTGAAGCATACTCCGGATCAGATGCAGTGAGGCTTTAACCTGCTGTACACCTTTGTGTCAACACAAGCATCTCTCTCTGTTATCCTCACAACCATCCCCCATAGTATTGAAGCATACTCCGGGTCAGATGGAGTGAGGCTTTAACCTGCTGTACACCTTTGTGTCAACACAAGCATCTCTCTGTCATCCTCACTACCATCTTCACCATCCCCCATAGTATTGAAGCATACTCCGGGTCAGATGGACACAGTGAGGCTTTAACCTGCTGTACACCTTTGTGTCAACACAAGCATCTCCCTCTGTCACCCTCACTACCATCTTCTCCATGCCCCATAGTATTGACGCATACTCCGGGTCAGATGGACACAGGGAGGCTTTACCCTGCTGTACACCTTTGTGTCAACACAAGCATCTCCCTCTGTCATCCTCACTACCGTCTTCTCCATCCCCCATAGTATTGACGCATACTCCGGGTCAGATGGACACAGTGTGGCTTTAACCTGCTGTACACCTTTGTGTCAACACAAGCATCTCCCTCTGTCACCCTCACTACCATCTTCACCATCCCCCATAGTATTGACGCATACTCCGGGTCAGATGGACACAGTGAGGCTTTAACCTGCTGTACACCTTTGTGTCAACACAAGCATCTCTCTCTGTCACCCTCACTACCATCTTCACCATCCCCCATAGTATTGACGCATACTCCGGGTCAGATGGACACAGTGAGGCTTTAACCTGATGTACACCTTTGTGTCAACACAAGCATCTCTCTCTGTCATCCTCACTACCATCTTCACCATCCCCCATAGTATTGACGCATACTCCGGGTCAGATGGACACAGTGAGGCTTTAACCTGCTGTACACCTTTGTGTCAACACAAGCATCTCTCTCTGTCATCCTCACTACCATCTTCTCCATCCCCCATAGTATTGACGCATACTCCGGGTCAGATGGAGTGAGGCTTTACCCTGATGTACACCTTTGTGTCAACACAAGCATCTCTGTCACCCTCACTACCATCTTCTCCATCCCCATAGTATTGAAGCATACTCGGGTCAGATGGAGTGAGGCTTTACCCTGATGTACACCTTTGTGTCAACACAAGCATCTCCCTCTGTCATCCTCACTACCATCTTCTCCATCCCCATAGTATTGAAGCATACTCGGGTCAGATGGACACAGTGAGGCTTTGACCTGTTGTACACCTTTGTGTCAACACAAGCATCTCTCTGTCATCCTCACTACCATCTTCACCATCCCCCATAGTATTGAAGCATACTCCGGGTCAGATGGAGTGAGGCTTTAACCTGCTGTACACCTTTGTGTCAACACAAGCATCTCTCTCTGTCACCCTCACTACCATCTTCACCATCCCCCATAGTATTGAAGCATACTCCGGATCAGATGCAGTGAGGCTTTATCCTGCTGTACACCTTTGTGTCAACACAAGCTTCTCTCTGTGTCACCCTCACTACCATCTTCTCCATCCCCCATAGTATTGACGATACTCCGGGTCAGATGGACACAGGGAGGCTTTAACCTGCTGTACACCTTTGTGTCAACACAAGCATCTCTCTCTGTCACCCTCACTACCATCTTCTCCATCCCCCATAGTATTGAAGCATACTCCGGGTCAGATGGACACAGTGAGGCTTTACCCTGCTGTACACCTTTGTGTCAACACAAGCATCTCTCTGTGTCACCCTCACTACCATCTTCTCCATCCCCCATAGTATTGAAGCATACTCCGGATCAGATGGAGTGAGGCTTTACCCTGCTGTACACCTTTGTGTCAACACAAGCATCTCCCTCTGTCATCCTCACTACCATCTTCACCATCCCCCATAGTATTGACGCATACTCCGGATCAGATGGACACAGGGAGGCTTTACCCTGATGTACACCTTTGTGTCAACACAAGCATCTCTCTCTGTTATCCTCACAACCATCCCCCATAGTATTGAAGCATACTCCGGGTCAGATGGAGTGAGGCTTTAACCTGCTGTACACCTTTGTGTCAACACAAGCATCTCTCTGTCATCCTCACTACCATCTTCTCCATCCCCCATAGTATTGAAGCATACTCCGGATCAGATGGACACAGTGAGGCTTTAACCTGCTGTACACCTTTGTGTCAACACAAGCATCTCCCTCTGTCATCCTCACTACCATCTTCTCCATCCCCATAGTATTGAAGCATACTCGGGTCAGATGCAGTGAGGCTTTAACCCTGCTGTACACCTTTGTGTCAACACAAGCATCTCTCTGTCATCCTCACTACATCTCACTCCATCCCCATAGTATTGAAGCATACTCCGGGTCAGATGGAGTGAGGCTTTAACCTGCTGTACACCTTTGTGTCAACACAAGCATCTCTCTGTCATCCTCACTACCATCTTCACCATCCCCCATAGTATTGAAGCATACTCCGGGTCAGATGGACACAGTGTGGCTTTAACCTGCTGTACACCTTTGTGTCAACACAAGCATCTCCCTCTGTCACCCTCACTACCATCTTCTCCATGCCCCATAGTATTGACGCATACTCCGGATCAGATGGAGGCTTTACCCTGCTGTACCCCTTTGTGTCAACACAAGCATCTCCCTCTGTCATCCTCACTACCGTCTTCTCCATCCCCCATAGTATTGACGCATACTCCGGGTCAGATGCAGTGAGGCTTTAACCTGCTGTACACCTTTGTGTCAACACAAGCATCTCTCTCTGTTATCCTCACAACCATCCCCCATAGTATTGAAGCATACTCCGGGTCAGATGGAGTGAGGCTTTAACCTGCTGTACACCTTTGTGTCAACACAAGCATCTCTCTGTCATCCTCACTACCATCTTCACCATCCCCCATAGTATTGAAGCATACTCCGGGTCAGATGGACACAGTGTGGCTTTAACCTGCTGTACACCTTTGTGTCAACACAAGCATCTCCCTCTGTCACCCTCACTACCATCTTCTCCATGCCCCATAGTATTGACGCATACTCCGGATCAGATGGAGGCTTTACCCTGCTGTACACCTTTGTGTCAACACAAGCATCTCTCTGTCATCCTCAACACCACCAGCTCCAGACCCCAAAATATTGCACAATACGGCATTTTGACCTGCTGTATTGTCTCAATATATCAGTTAACATTATGACTGTACATTTGTTTAGTTGTGTGTTTTCATGTTAGAGTTCTGTAGTGTTATTATGAAAAAACTCAACATGATGCAATTGTATTTAGCATGTCTAGGGAGTGTTTAACTGTATGTTTGTTTTGTTTTACTTCCATAGACCACTCCACCTGCAGCCTTGACCATTCTTGACTCCACCTCCGTCCTTGACCCCACTCTACCCTTGACCTCATCTCCATCCTTGACCGCAAGGCCACCCCTGACCCCACCTCCATCCTTGACCACACCTTCACCCATGATCCCATGTCCACCCTCAACCACACCTCCTTCTGTCGCCCACCCTTGAGTACACCACCAAACTTGACCACACCTCTGCCCTTCACCCCTCTCTACCCTTGATCACATCTCCACCCTTCACCACACCTTTAGCCTTGACCAATCCTTCGCCCTTGAACCCACCTCCACCTTTGAACTCACTACACATCTGACCCCATGTCCCCGCCTCAGTTATTTAAAATGTTCTGTGTCACAGTTATTGATATATGTCACGGTTGTGCCATGATTTAGTTTACCATTTTATTACTTAATGGTGGAGAAATGGTTTTCGCATGGAAATTTGTCACAAATATTTTCTTCAAAATTTTGGTTCTTATTTGCAAAGATTTGCATGTTGAATTTAGAATTAGAAGAAGATTCTTCCTCAATGTACCCACAAGTTGCCTAGGCAACGTTGTGATATCAGTTATCCTTAGTTATAACTATACTATTCAAAAGCAGTGAAAGAACACACATTGTATTTAAAATTACTATTGTTAATCCAAAATGCCAGTATTAATTTGGAATCTGTGTTTAACCAAATTTGTGCCCTATATCAGAATATGAATTTGGATGTTTTCATTTGCAACTAAGGAATTTTTTAATTGGTATTTGGACAAACTTAATTCATATGATCTCACAGCTGGTCTCAACATTATTTAATGGGATCCCCAGTTGCCATGAGTTGATGGATTGTAGTGGAAATTATCTGTGTCATTTTTACCATACTGTATTTTGCCATGTTGATACTAAGAATGCTGCTTTTCAGTCATGTATCAGCTGTAGTAATCTGGTTGGAAATTATTTATATAACAATTGACAATTTAAAGCAAACATTTTGAAAACCAACCATTAAGAAACAAAAGTCTGTAATGAGTGTGTTTCTTCCTACTTGCTATATGCACCATGGTGCTTCATTGATTCATTAGTAATACAATATTTGTTATTAAAATTATTGTTAAAATGTCAGTATTGTAAAATGTATTGCTGGTTTTGTTACTTCCAACTTGTCATACTTTTGTGCCTTGTCACCATGTAGTACTCAGTTAAGGAACGTGTGGTGGCACGTGGTCCTGTGCATATAACTCAGGTCACAAATCAGGTGAAGTTAAGCAACATTGGGTGGAGAGAGTCCTTTGACTCCTGATAGTTTCTAGGACATGAGTCCTGCCCCAAAAAGAAGCACATGTTATACATGTGGTCTCACCTTAGGAAAGTGAGTTTGTTCAAAATTGCCTCTGTTCACCCAGCAGAAAATGGTGGGATAACATAGCACCTCACAGGCAGCATGGGTTATCCGGGGTAATAATGATCAGATTGTTTGGGCGTTTCAAGCATGCATTGTGCATGGAGCTATGTGCTTGATAAATGGACTATTGTTATAACTCTGTTCCTTCTGAATTAAGAAACAGTAAATATGAAGACGTCTCCCTTCAAAACTCACCTCTTGTACTGGGCATTTCATAAGAATCTTAATATTGTATGCATATGTCCATACATGACTTGGCTTAACTTGTCATAGTGTCAGATACACCTGTCAATTGATGCTAGGCGCTTAAGAAATCAGTATTTAGTATTATTGTATCAACAGTGTATGAAAGATGTAGAAAATCTAGCCTGTCCACAGGACTGGCAGGTCAAATGTTTTACCAGTCCTGCCAAAATCTAGCCTGTCCTCCAAATATAAATAAAACACCTTCGGCAGTAAATATTCTAAAAGGTTACAATCATTATAATATGTCATTGGTTTGCTAAAATTGACCCGACATGAGGACGGACTAGATATTTTTTTAACCCGTCCTCCACAAAATTCATCCGTCTCGGACGTTGGGACGGGCTATCTTTCCTACACTGGTATCAATGCACAAATGTAACGCCTTTGACTTTGTACATGTACAGTCTTGATTTCAGTATTAGTCAAATCATCAGCTTTTGCTCAGACAATCGCTGTCTTCAGGTCACAACAGTGAGAGAGAGAGTTTAGTTTTACGCAGCTTTTGGCAATATTCAGCAATATCATGCCGGGAGACACCAGAAATGGGTGTCACACATTGTACCCATGTGGAGAATCGAACAAGGGTCTTTGTCACTACGAGCGAACGGTTTAACCACTAGGCTACAATAATATTTATTTAATGGTTATTGATCTGTATTGTCTATATTGATAGCCAGCTCTAGAGGATAAATGTGTGTTTGATTACTGTATGTGTTATACATAGATATAACAAACAAGTAGCCTCAATTCACTATATCCCTTGTCCCATAAAAACTTTCATGGAATTATTTATAGACAAATATCTGGTGAAATTAATGGTGAGATAAACTGACATTCAAAAGAAAGTATACACCTATGTTTGATGATGGCTCAAAAAATGAATAAACAAGAAATGCCTTTACCTATATTTTAAGTGAGTGAGTGAGTTTAGTTTTATGCCGCACTCAGCAATATTCCAGCTATATGAGGTCAGTCTGTAAGAAATTGTAATGTTACTGCGTAACAACGCTTAAAGTAAGGCAAATGGTAATGATTTTACGACGCTTCAATATTGTTTTCATTTGTGCTCTTCTGTGGAGGAGGGGTAAAATTGCACCGGAAACACATGATGGTTTGTGTTCGCAACTGGGGTCATGCCACAGTCTTTTTACCAGTCAAAACCTGTAGAGTTTGTCACAATACAAGCTTCCCCTGGATCTTCTACATTGTGATTTTTCTGCAGAATGTTTATGCTGAATGTGAGTTCTTTCACCCATTGAACGAGGCATTACAGAAATTGAGTCTTGACCTGACAATCCAGTGATCAACATCATAAGCATCAATCTAAGCCATTTGGGATACGATGCTATATGTCAACAAAGTCAGCGAGCCTGATCACCTGATCCTATTAGTCACCTCTTACGACAAGCATGGGTTACTTATGATCAATTCTAACCCAGATCTTCACCCGTCCATATTTTAGATAAACAGAGCAGTGTGTCCAACTTTCAGTTTGCATTTTTGACAATGTTTGTAACTTTTTGCCAAATCCTATTATCAATAGTGGTGGTCCGATTAATTGAAATAATCGAAGATTGGTTGTAGTGATAAACGACCAAGCAATCGATCATAATTTCTCATAATCGAACACAAACAATTCTGGAACACTTGTTTTCATTAACAATATTTTTCACATGGTTGGTTTTGTCTGTTACATTTCGTAAGCACTAAAAGCTCGTTTCATGTCATGATTGAATTTATCTTAAAGACTCGAAGAAATTTATGTTCCCAACATACTAGTCATCCTTTAAAGATGTGAAATTTTGCCAAAAGAACCCTAAAAGAATTACGTTTTTTCCTTATGTTAATGTGCATTAACAAATTTCATAAATGACGCTAACCAATTATTTTCGATGATTGATCGGTAGTAATGAACCAATCATCAATTATGAGATTTGAACCAATTCCCAACACTAGTTATCAAGTCATATTATCTTTCGCCTAACAGTACGTTACCACATATTTGTATAGATACAGCTGTTTGGGATTTGTACAGAAACCTTGATTAAAAAATGTTTGAAATTTACCTGTATGAATAAACCTGATTTAAAGATAACCTGGGGACTTTCCTTCCTTCATGACAGATTGGAAGTTATGAAAGAAAATGTCATTTGGAGCTGTCTGAGAAAATAATAAGTGGTTGGTTGGTTTGTTGTTTAAAACCGCACGCAGCAACATTCAAGTTATACATAAGTGGTGTGTAAATAATCAAGTCTGGACCAGACAATCCAGTGATCAACACCATGAGCATCGTTCAACATAAATGGGATACGATGACACGTGTCAACCAATTCAGAGAACCTGACCACCCGATCCTGTTAGTCGCCGCTTACGACAAGCATGGGTTACTGAAGACCAATTCTAACCGGACCTTTGGAGTACAACAAGAAGTGAAATGCTGGACTTCCACATTCATTTGTCTATGTGATATTAGTAGCAGTGTTGTAGCCTAGTGGTTAAAGCGTTTGCTCGTCACGCCGAAGGCCCGGGTTCAATGTGTACAATGTGTGAAGCCCATTCCTGGTGTCCCCCGCCATGATATTGCTGGAACATTTCTTAAAGTGGCGTAAAACTAAACTCACTCACTCACGCATTTTGATCAGGGTCACAGCACTAGTGGCTTTATTGAGGCTTAAAACAGTATGGTACACACAACAATATGATGCATCTGCAAACAACAAACAGACCATGTCCCATCCATTGATTTATACAATGTTTTCATGTGATTACTCAGGTGAACAATTGCCTTGCCTTTACATGTGTTTGTGATGTGTAACATCAATGGGAAGGGATATGCTCACCTTTGTTATAACAGCTAGTGAGTTAGTGATGGAGTTGAGTTTAACTCACCAATTTGACTCATTCTCCCAGATAATGTGCGGATAATCACAAATGGGAATATGGGATATGAGGTCACATTCGGGTAGCACTTTGTTGTGTAATGACACACTCAGGAACATTCCATCTATATGGCGGCATTCTGTAAATAATCGAGTCTGGACCAGACAGTCCAGTGATCAACAGCATGAGCATCGATCTTCGATATTGGAATACGATGACATGTGTCAGCCCTGGTCCAGACTCTAATTTACAGACCGCCGCCATATAACTGGAATGTTGCAGAGTGCGTCATTACACAACGAAGTGCTACCCGAATGTGACGTCATATCCCATGTTCCCATCTGCGATTATCCGCACATTATCTGGGAGAATGAGTCAAACTGGTGAGTCCTGGCTTTCTCATTGCTTCAGATAAACTTTATCTAACAGAGCAATGCCAGAAACTTGATCGCCGCGTCTTGTGATGCAGGCGCCGGAAATATGATTTTACATCGATGTCAACAGATATTCCCAATGGTCTTCAGCCGTGACAGGTTCTGGTTTATTCTGCCTGAAAATGTTCTCATATTTTCTTCCTTCCTCACTTAAAGCCACGAATATTGATCAAACCTTCAGATTATATTGTTAAATGCCTAATTTATCGAGCGAAAACATGCGTCATTTCAACACGTGTCTCTTTTACTGAAGTCGACTCGAAGGGCGTCTTGTCAGTGACAGTCGCTGCTAGGTTTTTAATAAAATGTCAGTATCGATAAATTTCTGTTTGAACTCCTTCACATTCTGGTGTCAATTTCAGATTATGATCGTTTTTCAAGAAAGTACATCCATATTTGTGTAGGATATATTTTACCTTTCCAAAGCATGACCTTTGAAAAGTTCATCGGTGGCTGAAATCGATGCAAGCTTTAATCGCTCATGAATTTTTTTTCTAAGTGCTGGTTTGAATCCTGAAATACATGTTGTGTAAGGTAATGTTGGTACAGGTGTATCAGATTTCAGTATTTGGGATACAAAGTTTAAAGACTTATCGAAGAATAAATAAGTAACAATAATGTTTAAAAAATCATTCAAACTTTAATCAATTCAAGAGAAATACATTAATACTACGAGTATATCCGTTATGTGTACTGGAGGTTACAAGGAAACATAACTACAGGGAATAATAGCTTCAAAGTGTGTTTGACAGTGTACGCCTACCTGCACACAAGTGGACTGTTTCAATTAGTGTGCACTAATGCCTACAATGGGATTAGGGGAGGAAAGAGCAATTGTCCAGATGCTTGGTTAGAGATCATGGACGACGCCCCTGCCATTGGACAGATGGACGAGCTCCTCGACAACGTCACCAGCACCTGGGTGGACGTCCACGCCAAGTTCCAGGCCGGATCATGGAATCACCGTTAAAACCAACTGCCCGAGAACGAACAACCATCTGGTGGGCATTCGCACCTCAACAAGATCGTCCAGAGACGCATGAACATTTTCGCTTTCGTGAAGGTGTTACAGAAGATGGAGAAGGCTGAGAGGAACAAGTTGGTGCTGATGGCGCATGGCGCCCGTTTCCCACCCCGCAAGATGACATACACAGAAATTGAAAAACAAAACAACACACAATGAAATGGGACGTACCGCTTTAATGAAAGGTTGAAGGCAGTAAAATTCAAAACCATTGGTACTCCCTGTAGGCAATAGTAAACTCCTCCGATTTAGCAATGTACCGCGGGAAGACCAAAAATGGGTTTCACTCACCGTACCTTTGTAGGATCTCCTCCCTCCCTCCTCCCCTCTCTCTCGATCTCGATCTCGATCTCGATCTCCACATTTACAAATCATTATCGTGTCTCCCTAACATCTACCAAAATCATAATAGATACAGCAACCCAATACGACGGTTGGGGTGAAATTTTTTCTCAAAAATAAAATTGTAAGAACAACTGTTCTATAAATATAGTAACATTTTTCATAAAGTGATGTATTAAATACGTTTTAAACGTAGCCGCTTATAGTGAGTGCATTAAAATGTTACATTGCATATGCAATATTGCATCCACATGTCTATGAAAACAAGTTAATTATATTCGAATATAATGAACAGTAAAACATTTGTGTAAGAATCACAGTTTATGTATGAAACAAACCAATTCAATATCAAAACACAAATGAAGTCTAAGAATATTATTTAGTATAAAAGTACTAGGCCACGTACCACTAGTGACCAAAGTCAGTCCACCTCAGTAGGGATGAAGCACAGGCCCTCGTGTCTGCCCGAGGATTAATAATTAAAAAAAATCAAATAAAACAAAACACACTAAAAAATAATAACCGAACAATACAGTACAATGTGAAGCATTTCGAATCAGTGGTCATCTAACTAAATGTTGTTTTTCTTTTCTATCTTTAATCCTCGCAAAGACTCGAGGGCCAGGAGGATCAAGAAGGATTTACGGTACTTCTGCTTTCTATACTATTCCCAGCAGGATTTTACGCCGTCGTTTTGGTCACTAGAGGCTGTGTGCGAGACTAAGCAATAATAAAAGAACGCAAACTACAATCTACCACCTACAACACTAGGTGATGTTACATAGACTTTATAATAAGTTTACGCTACTTTATCCTGAACGGCAACGGCATAAAAGGAATCAGATTGTGATAACATCACACTAATTTAAATATTGAAATTTTATCAAAATTCAGTTGCTTTAAGAAGCCGAGCCTTAAATTGATGGCATTCATCAATATGGTCTTTTAAAGAAGATGAATGATTACGCATATACACCAGTTTTCTAGATCCCATACAAAGTCAATGTTTTTCGACTGATCTACTCCTTTGAACATCCTTGGGACACGAGAGAATCATAAAGAGATATATATCCCTGTTCCTTTGCTAGCACGGCTGCTGTTGACCCACTGGCGTTCTTGTGGTTGATGTCAAGTTTCTGTAGAGAGATGAGATACTTCACCATGTCCGCCTCGTTGCTCAGACAGGCAGCTTGCAGGATGTTGTTACCGCTGTCGTCGACCAAGTTTACATCAGCTGATTGTTCCAAGAGCACATCAACTGCTTGTCTACACCCAGTCATTGCTGCCAACATGACCGGAGACCGGCCGTATCTATCCCGGCTGTTTTTCTCCACGATATTCTTTGACAGGACATGCTTCACCATGTCCACCTCAGCTCCAAGACAGGCAACGTGAAGCATGTTATGACCATTGTCATCCACTGAAGTCGCAAGGCATCCTGTTTGTAGGAGAAGGTCCAGAACGTCTCGATGTCCCTTCCCAGCTGCTGCCAATAATGGTGTCCTGCCGTATTCTCCTTTACTGTTAATGTCAAAAAAGTTATTTGAGAGAATGTGATTCACCATGGTACTGTCGCCTCCGAAACAAGCCACGTGGAGAATATTGTTCTTCTTCTGACACAGCATCGACACATCGGCTCCCTTGCTGAGAAGGTAGTAAAATACACCTCGATGACCCATCCCAGAAGCTGCCATCAGGGGTGTTCTACCATTGTCTCCTCTACTGTTGATGCCAACTATCTCCTGAGCCACGAGATACTCCACCATCTGCACATGACCTCCAAGACAGGCTGCGTGAAGGATGTTGTCACCGTCATCGTCGACACAATACAAATCAGCTCCATGACTTACAAGAACGTCCAGGACGATCTTATGACCTTTTTCTGCCGCGGCCATCACAGGAGTCCGTCCGAACTGCCCCCGGCTATTTATATCAACAATGTTCTGGGTTATGATATACGAAACAAGGTCAACGTCCCCTCCGATGCAAGCAACATGAAGGACGTTGTTACCGAACTTATCAACTTGGTACACATCGAATCCTTTGCTAACAAGGAAGTCAAACTCATCTCTGTGACCGTACTCCACTGCCGTCATCAACAAAGACGTTCCGTTCTTGTCCAGACTGTCATTGGCCTCAGGACCAGAGAGCAACTGCTTCACGCGATCCAGATCCCCTTCTCTGCATGCCGTGTGGATGTCAGTCTCAGAAGGTTGGTCACCGGAACTATCTTGAACGAAGTTCTCATCGCCGAAACCATCAACTGCATTAGAAGAATATCAGATAACCGATCATTATAATTTGGAAACCATGAACCGCAAATATGCCAAACTAAGACATTGTTTGCGTGTGGTGGTAGTAAGTTGCTTTGAATAGTATTTCGGTTAAATTACACGGTGTCGGCTTATTATGGGTTTGTTTGTTGTTTAACGCTACACCCAGCAATATTCCGTCTATATGACTGCGGTCTGTTAATATTCGAGTCTAGGCCAGTGATCAACATCATGAGCATCGATGTACGCAGTCGGCCTACGATGACATACGTCAAACACGTCAGCAAGCCTGACGACCGGATCGCGAGAGCATGAGACCAATTCTACCCCAGATCTTCGCGGGTTAAGATTAATACTGTTGGTATTTAATGTTTTGGGGAAAAGCAAAACGTCATCGAAAGTAATCGAGAACACAAGGTGTTTGCGAAACACCGCCCCAGTCCAACACTGCATCTGCTTCCCTGAACTCATCAGTGATCGATTCTCCAAGTGATACGTGCAATGTTTAGCCCACACATTTGTCTTGAGGGGACACATTAATGGTAGCAAAGATGGATTTATTGTGCCATTCTTCATGTTTTTTAATTCAGAAAAAAGAACGTTTTTGCCAGATAATAACTTCTCTCACCCTATATTATCTTGAATTAACCAACCTGGTTTTTGCTTTTCCCGTAGCCCAAGTTTACTTTCTAAATCTGTAATCTGCAACAGAAGAATACATAATGAAATATCCTAACACACATGCAAGTTTTACTGATATTGACTCATGACTTTAATGGAGTTGATGCGAAGCAGTTACACAAAAAGTAGAGATTGAGAAAGATGGACACTCACTTTTCATTCAACCCTAAAACATTTCACTTAAGTCAAAGAAAGCAATGAAATATTTATCCTAACCTGACTTTGATATGAAAAAACCCAAATAACGAGAAACATACGTTTGATCAATGCAAGTTTTTCAGCTTCGACTCAATGAGAGAAAAAGCCGGAATTTATTTTGATCGACAGGGAAAACAGAATCATGTATAATACTGCTGTATTTGTAATTGTGGTTTCAAATGAGCTACTCACCTTCTTGTGAAGAGCATAACGCTTCTCCCGTTCAGCTGAAAGTAAGATGTAACCAATTAGTGAGCAAAGGGTCTTGTATGAAAGGATTTAAAATTGATCAATGCCAAAGAAAGTAAACTATCGAATTTGGACCAGACAAACCATTGGTATTGGGAACAACGACCCACGTGAGTTACTAAGACGCACCAAGTCAATATGACACCTATATGACGGCGGGCTGTAAAATATCGGAGCTGGAGCTGAGTGAGAGAACAATAGTTGGTTGGTTGTTGTTTAACGTCGCCCTCAGCAATGTTCCAGCTATACGGCGGTCTGTAAATACGATTGGAATACGATGACATGACAATCCAGTGATCAACAGCATGAAAATCCATCTACGCAACTGGGAACCGATGACATGTGTCAACCAAGTCAGCGAGCCTGACCACCCTATCCCGTTAGTCGCCCGACAAGCATGGGTTTCTGAAGACCAATTCTAGCCTGGATCTTTACGGGTAGATTACAGCGTTCCACAATAAACACAATCATGGAATTATCGATAGACATATGTGTACATACACTCTGAATACGTGTTCAGCTGATGAAGACTCCCTTTCATCGTCTGGACCTGCAATAAAAGAAAACGTAGTTTACGAAGCAGGATCCGATATGAAGGAAGAATATGACAAGATGAAAATCGACATTTAGAGCATAAGCTTATAACACCAACTTGTAAGGTCAGCGTAATACGTTTATAAACCCTTGAGTGGTCGTCCGAATATGTATCCTCTAGTGCCAGTGTCCCAGTCGTTAATGGCGAGCAACTCGCTGTGCAGAGTTGCGTCCCTTCTGCACGCCAGGAACCTATGGTGATGTCTACATGTCGATGAGCACCATACCCATGCTCGATGGTTGCCAAGTGTGACCGGGTGTAAAAACCTTGGAGTCAACTTTGTGTGCAGACTCTTTCAGTGTTGTCACAACCCCTAGTGTACAGTACACAACCCTGTACACTTAAAAGAACCCACGAATCCGTTGGTATTTGACCCGATGGTGGCCACATGAATACGTGCAAATACCTAGTTGCGGGTACAGCAACGTGCAGTGAACATGGACAAAGTACTGTGACTAAGTCTCCGGTCCACTCAGCTGTGAATGGGTACCTCGTTAGGATGAGAAAGCCACAATAACTCGGTGCGCCTAGTGGCTGCAAGAGTTGTATACTCCCCAGGGAGTTGAGACTGATAATGCTATGTGCCGTTGAGATTGACATCCAATGATCGAGGGAAAAAATACCAGCGCCTTGAGCATGCACTAGTGCGTGGATATGTGCGCTATATAAATATCCTATAATAATAGATCTACATTCCCTAGTAACTCGTCCCATAATGAGTGCAAGGACTGTTTTATTACTGGATTATTGCTCAAAGCGATAATGTTTGATTTTTGTTTAACGCCGCACTAAACAATATTCCCGCCACATGAGCGGAGGTTCTTGTAAGAAATGATTTTATTCATCAACGCAGTAAGTAGACTATCGAGTCAGGTCCAGACAAACCATTGATATTGGGAACAATGATCCACGTGGGATACGTGCAAGTCAGTATTACAGCTACATGACGGCAGTGCGTAAATAATCGAGTCTGGACCAGACAATCCAGTGACCAACATTATGAGCATCGACCTACGCATTTGGGATACGATGACATGTGTCAATCACGTCTCCTGGGCACTGGACAAGCATGGGTTACTGAAGACCAATTCTTACCCGGGTCTTCACTGACAGACATATTATATGAACAGATCTCCAGAAGCCAGTAATGGCACCCAGTCCTGGACAGCGGACATGCGGAGGGTGAAGTGTTTTGAGCATCAACTTTTTATATCCTTGTCCCTGCATGGGTTGCTGAAGACCAGTTCTATTCCTGGTGTTAAGGGGTATTTTTATAAACAATAAACCCAACTAACTTAATGTCGCGCTAGGATTTATAGTACATGTATCGCATCATACTTGCAATTTGTAACGTAGATGGTCAGTTTGATTCACAGTTAAAACTAATACACAAGAAACATTTGTGCTGCATTTACACAATAAAAAATCAGGGTCAGTTCTAAAACCGGTAATAACACAACACAAGCAGAACTGATAAATTGTCGTGGTTGCCTAAATGTTAGAAAGTCTCATAAATTCGGGCATGAGTATTATTTGATATTTGCATGCATGCTAATTATTGTATATTGAACAATAAGAAGTTTTACTGACCTTGACCAAATCGTATCCAACTAATGCAGATTTTTCAAAATTACTGTTGGAAAACTACTGCTAGAGTTTTGAGTAAAACATTATAGTACAAATATAAGATTAAAGGAAGTATTTCCAATTCTCATAGACTGAATATGTTCATACCAGGATTCAGATTGAAAATCATGTGATGCTGTGACGAGGGACTATGGAATGATCAAAGTCAAGAACAGATGTCATTCCGTTTCTGTATATTTAACTTGCCATTGAGTTATTGTTGTCTGTAGCAACTCCACACAAACACATTTAATGAACATATATGATGTGTACAGTAATACCTTTTCGTTAGCCTCGGCCTTGTGTTCTTCTGTATCTGCAGACAAAAGCAACACTGCATTATTTGTTAATCACTGGATTAATCACTGCATTATTGTTAATCACTGCATTATTGGTGCATTATTGTTAATCACTGCATTATTGTTAATCACTGCATTATTGTTAATCACACACATGTGTATATCACACATTCAAATAAGAAACTGGTCATATCTAAACGTTATGTTATACACCCAAGTACATTGTTCTAGCAGAATGTCATTGAATATCGCGTCCACAGATGCATCCCCGCCCTAACTACAGCGCACAGTTCCTACAGAATGTGAATCACCTCGTGCCCTCAATCGATGGTAGAGACTTTAAATGATCTGAACTGTCTGTGGGTACTAGATTCTCCTTTTGCTGCAGTATATCAATTGCCTTTCTTACAAACAACTCCTTATAACGCACCTTCAGTATCCTGTGTCAGTACCTCGAGTTCATCCTTCAGGTTTTGTATCTGAAACAACCAACAGACTACTAATCAAGACCTTGGGGTCATGTGTCACATTTTATTTCATCCTCTCTGAAAGTTCAATGTAGTTTCTATTCAAAAGAAAAAAGAAATATTTTTCAGATTGATTCACAATGCTCTGGGCGGTCTAATGTCACAGCGTGTGGCTATCAGCGATGGGATTTCCGTCAAGAATGGTACCAATGCTGGAGTGATTCAGAAGGATAAGGTTTGTGATTTACCTGCCGTTCGTGTACAACAGTCGTTACTCTCCCACATCAATAAGGGTTATTTGTGGGCCATGTAACCATTAACCAGTTATCAAGCCTGTTTGAACTCCTTCTGCTCAACGTGAAAATCGTATATTTCCCTTATTTGACAAGTTCTCGTAGCCCCAGTTAAGACTTTAAGCACTAAGTGTAATGATGTTCTCTTAAGTAGGATCTAGGTGTTGATGTATTTACATTGGTGAGTGAAACATCTACATTTAACAGAAGCGACAAAAACCGTTCCATAATCGTGTCTTCTAAACGACGCTATAATAAGGTTCATGGTGCTAATACATTCTTGTAGGCGCTGTAAATAAAGCATTTTAATATGGAATCTCTACTTCTAAAACAGTGTGTCCCGATGTGTCCCGATGAGTCGAATCGCTGGGGACCAAGTAATAAATTCGACTTATCGATGTATTCGAGACATAGGTATGTCTATGAGGGTAGAAAAAAGTGACGATCCAGTCCTAATTCCTCCGCCTAAGCATTTTTTGATTTTACCCAATCCACAAATAAACAAGACGTCATCAAGGCAGACTTGTTGTAACAGTATGAAGTTGGCAGCATGCAGAGGTTTGACTTTCTTAAAACAACGCCGCTTAGCAGATTTTCCTATCACCTATTGGGGCACCTTACTAACGGGGAATGGTCGGGAGCGACAGGTACTTCGAGTTATGCATAATATTCGAGACACCGGCATTCGACTCATCGGGATTTGATTGTACGTGAGTACCTAAACAGGTATTCCAATAGAATGGATACCATATCTCATTAGGAATGCCATGGTCATTGTGCATCAGTGGTGTATTTACTGATATAAAGACCAATGCGTTTAATGATCATCTTTATGTCATCCGGTGGGACAATACGAGCATCCATTATATGGTCTATCACCAACTTTTGGTTAGAACAGAGTAACCGCGATGTATACCTGGATCAAACTAAGAAGCTTAATACCAATTTGAAATTCTTGAAGCGGAAAAGTCACAGTAGAACGGAAGTAGGTCATACCTTTGTCCCTAAATCGGCAACATCTTCAGTGCGAAATCCTATAACAAAGGAAGAAGAGAGATGTACTCACTTACACGTTTTGTACTGTTTCCAATCTCCCATCTGTCCCTACCCAATAATTCCTTTGATCGGACACTAGCTCGAACTTAAGTAACTATGGAATACAAAAAGGGACATTGTCGCGTTGTCGGACTAAAAAACAAACAAAATGCCAATATAAACCTAAATACGACAATGTCCCTTCTAATATTCCATGCAATACAAAAGTTTAATGCAATGCGCGTGACACACACATGCGCACACACGCACGCACATACACACACATGTTATATGGTGGTACCAACCCTGATCTGTTTTTCCTGGAGCGATATTCACGTTAGCAATGTTTTCCTTGTTTACCAATCCACATTTCGTTTATGAAATAAAATATATGTTTAAACCTAGTATATAGCAATATAACAGCGGGGAACACCAGATATGGGCTTCACATATTTTACCCTTCTGGGGAACCGAATCCGGGTCTTGGGCTTTAACAATTATGTTGCCCACAAAAAGTAACTTTGAATATCATACAATGTGACCACTGAAAATCAGTGATGACTCAAGGTGGTAACGGTAAGGGTATCCCCTGCCTTAGCCGTAGCACCCGCCTTTGACACTTTTTGCCTGAAACATTATTTACAGTGCGGCACCACACATCAGTAGTCGTGTCATGCAGTTTTCGACACTTAAACAAACCAGACTTTCAAGTGATCGACCAGAACATCCACTTACTAGTTTTGACGAGCAGAGATTCCACTGCTTATATCAGACCATATAATGTACACAAAACTGTTTGGGAAGTAGATTTAATTCACATCACCATGGAGGGCGGTGAAGGGCAATTACAAAATGACCTAAAATAGCAAATATCAATAATATTTTTCAATATTTTATCGTATAAAACAATATTCATGGATTATAACTACCAATATTGTAAAAATGAAGAAAATCTGAAAGCGGGGACTTTTCATGATCGGCATTATTTTCCTTTTAATTTTACTTCTTGAGATCAAATCACGAATGATTTGCTGAAGGGTTTGATACTTTCCATGGAAATAGATATATCTCTGGTGACATGTCTGACGGATTGATTTTTAAAAAATCATTTACCCCGGGCTTATTATCTTCAACACTTCTAGGAATATTGCCACTTTGAAAAAAATGTTTCTGATAGAGACATCTATTAATACAAATATATTTATCAATACATTTTAGTTTGTTTCATAAATGTACGCCCGTTTTATCTTGCTGGGAATATAGTTTTGATGATCCCAACTAATTTTAATGTTTCCCATTAAGGAGGAAATCGATGCTCATGATGTCAATCACTGGATTGTTTGGTTAGTATAACGTACCAAATCGCTGTCATATAGCTGGAACATTGTTGAGTACTGTGCGAAACAATAAACAAACTTGTGAACAGAACCATGACGGATCACAATCATACGTAAGATAGCTGTTAAGTCAGTGCTGTATATCCTTAATGTACACTCACTTTCAAGGTCAGCTTTAAGTTCCCGAAGATCACCATTCAGAACCTCGATCTGTGAAATATGAAAAATGAAATGTGAAGTTTGAAACTATTGCATTTCCAAAGTGGGGTTTCTGAGCGGTAAAACAACACGGATTTCTAAAGCTGATATCATGTTATGTCTTTCTTTCATATCTGCTGTCAATTAATGGATTCAGGCACAAAGCAAAACCATTAAATAGCTGCATTTACAAAGTGACGAGGATTTACGAGTATTCAATCCAACACGGTTTCTAAGGCCGACACCATGCTATGACTTTCTTATATACCCTCAGTCATAATTGGTGTAGTGATCTCAGGTACCAAGAATATATAATATGTTGGCCATTTGTCGCATGGTCGCCATGTGGCATTGTCGCGCTTGAATAATATATTTGTATTCATCCAAAGGGTAACAATGCGACAAATGGCCCAAATGCGTGTTGTCGTATTGTCGCATTGTAGCTCTGGTTAATTTTGACACTTTTTGCTTTTGTGAAGGCGACAACGCGACAACGTCCCTTCTATGATTCCACAGAAAACCTGTACTTTACTGATTTGTTAGTTATACAAACACCACTATATTCTATTTACGCACAACAGATTCTGTTTGGAGGATTATCGAGACTGATTATATTCTTGGGCTGACTTAATGTAACACATTATGAAACATCATAACTCTTGCAACGTCCTAAACCTATATGCAGTGCCTGTGCATTATCAATCAAGGTGTCTGCATAACATCAACAGCACTATGTGACGGTGAACGGCTCATTACATACCGACGTGGTGTATACTTTAACACGCCTGTGTTCGACCGTAAGGATAATGTATGTTTAAGTGAGACGTATCACCCATCACTTTAAGAACTAAAGACGTCAATTTATTGGACAGAAATGTCCATTTACCTGCTCCTGAAGATCTGGTATGTCTTCAATCGAAACTTTGTCTAGAAAATATAAAAGATTAGGCAAACAGAGACAACTAAATGGTACCTTACAAATTTGAACTGGGTACATGTGAAGGACTTTTCAGACTCACTGATGAAATACATACGCAACATGTGCAAGAAGATATAAGGGCATCGTCAATGTAAGCTTCAACACATACACACTAGTTCCATGGCATCGCCTGCACGATACCTACATCCTTAGGCCTATGTGAGGATATTTCGTCATAGTTACAATTGCAATACCAGTTCATCTGTGCACGTATTTCATGCGAACCATTAACGCACAAAAGGATAGTTTCGGACTGTCCACATTACAAAGGGTAAGTCACAGAATAAAAAAAGACTTTTAATACACTTTATGGATGACAATTTCTTTCTTATATCACTTGTTATATTCCGACATAAAAATCTATATCGAAACGTTGCACGTATTAGAATGAAGAGGTATCCTGCATTTTATGATACCAACTTATGAAATGCCAATTAGTGAGTGAGTTATTATTTAACGTCAGATAGGCAATATTTCAGCCATATCGTGACGAGAAAATTTGACATTGAAATAGAATATATATATATATATATATATATATATATATATATATATATATATATATATATTAGAAAAAAAACAACCTGCCGACGAAGGACAGTAAAACAACTAGAATATCACAGATATAGTAACTGAATCTAAAACATTTCAACCATAGAGGACCACACAATATAAAAATAGGCTATTGATCGCCAACAACTGAAGGTAGATCACCATACTAGGGACGAAATGCCAATTAAACAGATGACGTCTGAGAGATATGCGTTATTGCTGTCATGGGTCGTTACATTGTCAAACACACAATGCTATATGACGTACATTAAGCCTATATATGAATAAGGGTATCATGAAAAGTTTATAAAGATTAAACAGAGACAAAACAAAGCTGTCGTAGCGCTATGACTGTCGTACCTCCCATACTGTAACATAGACTTACGACAGTCGTAGCGCTACGATAGCTTTGTGAAACGGGCCCTGACCTGCAAAGATGTTTCAAGATCATGTCCGTCACCTTAGTGTTGGGTCCACCATCAATATTATTTATTTGTTTATTGTTTAACGCCGTACTCAGCAATATTCCAGCTATATGGCGACAGTCTGTAAATTATCCAGTCTGGACCAGACAATCCAGTAATCAACAGCATAAGCATCGATCTTCGCAATTGGGCTACGATGACGTGTCAACGAAGTCAGCGAGCCTGACCACTCGATCCCGTTGGTTGCCTCTTACGACAAGCATGGGTTACTGAAGACCAATTCTAACTTCCTCCATCACTTCTACCAGATAATTATGCATTAACCGAACCAGCATGGAGACCATTTCTAACATGGAATCCTTGCGAGGTTGGGAGATACTAATTTTCTGCATACCAGTGTTGTCCTTTCGCCTTTGATGTTCAACCTTCAGGTCTTCTATCTGTTATCGAAGGAATAGAGCACATTAATCATTCATAGGTTTTGTCAGTAATACGTCACCGCGAAGATGTTTCTACACAGACAAATGCTATCTAGAGTCTTTGAATGGCATCTACTATACACATAAATGAAAATTTATGGATGTCAACTTCTATATTTTGAGGGACACGACGTTTCGGGAGTATATTCTTACTCCTTCACCTGATGAAGGGGTAAGAATATGATGATATAAATTTTGTCCCTCAAAATAATGAAGTTGACATCCATGAATTCTCGCCTTTAAATGTTATCTATGTTCACCAGTCTTTTGCACTAATGGAGCGGCGTACACGTGTCAAGCGGGCATATTCATGGATACCCAACTCAGACAAGTGCACTGCCTACTATTCATCCAATACAGGTTTAATCCGATGAAGTCAATGACCAGGCAGGGCAACAACAAATACCATCATTTAAGGAATCAACTGGCATCCAACCACAGATCTCTTGGGGCAGATGCACTGTCAACCACTCCACTAAAGCGATGGTTTGGAACCCTTCTTCAATAGGAAAAGCTATGTAAAGCAAATGTAATCTTGCTATATGATCTATAGTCAATCCACACTTGTCGTTTATCAACGGGACAATGCCGGTATTTCTTGCGTCTCTGTTTCGTACTGCATTTACAATTAAGCCTTTTATCATATTTATGCATGGATTCAAATGAAATAGAAAATGTCATGCATTGCATACCTCCAGCTCTATTCCTCGATATTTCATGATATCATCTGGAATAAAAATAATGAAAGGTATTCGAATTTACAAATATGTAGCCTTATATGAATTTATGTAATTCTATGTTAATGGTTGCATAGGCGTATGATACGACACTCACATCTTTCTATCTTATGTCATACAAAGTCCTTATAGGTTACACAAAGTTAAACAACGGTTAGCGTTCCTTTCATCACACAATAAACTGTGATTTGTTGTTAAACGCCGCACTCAGCAATATTACAGCTCTTTGATGGCAGTCTGTTAATATTCCAGTCTGGACCAGACAATCCAGTGATCAACAGCATTTAAATCCATCTACGCAATTGGGATACCATGACACGTGTCAACCAAGCCAACTAGCCAGACCACCCAATCCCATTAGCCGCCTCTTACGTCAAGCATGGCTTACTGAAGACCAATTCTAACTCGGATTCGCAAGACTTCACGGGTCCGCAATATACTGACCCTATCTGAATTTACTGGCATATTGTTAAATTCTCTTTTTTTGAGTCTTTAGTCTATGTTTAGCTGCTGGATATATACCTGTTATTAAATTTTAAAAATTACAATCTTAAATTCTCAATAATTTCTGGTTGTGCTGTACCTGTTATGGCTTGGCTGGTTCTTTCGAAGTCATTTTCCAAATGCTTCAGCTGAGATAAAGAAAGGAAAGCAATGAATTAATTAGTTATCTATTGGTTGCAATATGTAGTGTGATAAACCATTGTTAACTCTACAAACATGTCTCAAGGGAAATGAACAATAGTTTTGGGGAGAAGAATATATAATCGTACACATACTTCGAGGTATGGTATATTTTCACATCATATAAGAAACAAACAACATATAAGGCTAGCATTGTTTTTTGTGAGCACAATCCGAGTCGAAATCCTTTGTGTATCCCACTCTTTGGCTCTTCCTCGAATGGACAATGGTCAGCTTCTAATAATCACCTAAAGGAACATTGTATTTAGCAAACACCTCTATCATCACTACTGGATAGCGATTGAATAAAGTGCATGCTTTATGTGATGGCGTCGGGATCTATTTACCTTCATTTCCACAGTTGGTTCGTCTTCATCACCACCTGAAATGGACATGAATATATTCTCAATGGTTAGGTTTGCCATGAATTATATCACACCATTTCAGTTTAATGGCGGTTGTTACCGGTAGGGCAGGACACGCTTACCCATTTCGCAAACACCTGGTGTCATCACTGATTTTACTTAGTCAAAAAAGAAACTTCACAAAATGTAATTTGAAAAATAATGAATAATTTTTCTCTGATGATACATCTATGTATCCGAAATGGGATCCCTATCTTTCAACTCTAGAAAAACGTTAGCAAAACCCACTCAAACCCATCCATTCGTCGTGCAAATGACGTTAGTGCCAAATCAGGTTTTGCACGTGCAGTCGATCACGTGATCTTCGCATCGAAGTTTTCTTCACATGCACGTGTTTGCATTGGCCTCAAGAATTGAAAAAACACTTTTAAACCACAGTTCTAACGGTACTTGAAATGCCACGATTGTCAAATGTGCAACGTGAACGTGCCGTTGGCATGTTGCAAGCGGGAAGATCAGTTATTGACGTCGCAAGAGCAATGGGATGCAGCCGTCGTACTGTGTATGACTTGCGAGGTCGTCTACAACAAACTGGTACCACTTCTGATCGCCCAAGGTCGGTTCGTCCACGTGTGACGTCACGAGCAGAAGACCGTCAAATCGTCCTACGTCACCTACGTGACAGATTTCTGCCCGCTACACGAACCAGGGCTGAGATGTTTAGAGGTCGACTGTCCTCACAGACCATTCGAAATCGGTTGCGGGCTGCCAATCTCCATTCTCGACGTCCATATCGCTAATATTGACGCCGTTTCATCAACGTCAACGTCTGCTGTGGGCCCAACGTCACCTCCGATGGACCCAGAGAGACTGGAATCGAGTCGTCTTTAGCGATGAATCCAGGTTTACCCTCAGATTCGCGGACGGCAGGCATAGAGTGTGGAGACGACGTCGTGAACGGTATGCCCAATGTTGTGTACAGGAAGTCGACAGATTCGGGGGCGGAAGTTGCATGGTGTGGGGTGCTTTCTGTGGGAACAACCGTTCCCGACTTCTGGTCATCCGTGGAAACCTCACAGCTGCTGCTTACCGCGACCAGGTGCTCATCCCTGAACTCGTTCCTTTCATGGCGGCTCATGGCCCAGGTCTACAGTTCCAGCATGATAATGCTCGGCCGCATACCGCGATGTTGACACAAAATTTCCTTCAAAACGCTGGAATCAACGTCATGGACTGGCCATCGAGGTCCCCTGACCTTAATGCACTAGAGCACGTTTGGGATGCACTTGGGAGAAGGCTTCGTGGTCTTAGGAACCAACCTCAGAATTTGCGGGAACTTGGCGCTGCCTTGCAAGAGCAATGGCGCAGAATCCCCAACCACGTGTTCACAAGCATCAGGCAGTCGATGAGGAGACGGTGTTTGGCAATGGTGAATGCGCGGGGCGGCCATACACGATATTGAACTGAGAAATTTCGCATTTTTATTCTTGTGACTTGACAGTCTGTATACCCATGTTTTGGAACGGCGGTGTAGCCTAATGGAACTGATTATGGCACTGTCAGTGTATCGAGTACATCACACAGATCTCAGCAATGCAATAATAACAATTTAACCATCTTACCATCTCTTGTTCTTTTATAGTGCCCTGCAGAAAGAATGTGAAGTTTCTTTTTTGACTCAGTATATAATTTTCGCAGTTATTTTTCTCTTTACGCCAAATGGGATTTGTTTCTGGGGATAGCCCAGACTGAGTATTCTTCTGAGAAATTAGTACGCGGAGGAAGTTTGATGGTTTGTAAAGCTTTCACTCGGTATAATAACGTTCAGTGTATCTTCGATATCTTCTTCAGATGTTATTGTTATTTTTTTAAGACATACTTACATGTTGCTTTGCGTTCACGCTTTGGTACATCCGTTGACATTTTGGCCTGTGCAAACAGAAAAAAATGTAAAGCAAAAGTTTTTTATTTGATATAAGGCCATTTTGTGGAAGATGGTGTTTCTTCACAAGACCAAGGACTCGCAGCGAGTATATATGTAGGTAAATGAGTGTATGCTTCGTGCGATTCACGACGGGTGTGTGAGTTTAGTTTTACGCCGCACTCAGCAATATTACAGCTATATGGCGGCGGTCTGTAAATAATCGAGTCTGGACCAGACAATCCAGAGATCAACAGCATGAGCATCGTTCTTCGCAAATGAGATACGGTGACATGTGTCAACCAAGTCAGCGAGCCTGACCACCTCATCCCGTTAGTCGCCTTTTACCACAAGCATGGGTTGCTGAAGACCAATTCTAACCCGGATCTTCACGGGTCCCGTTTGATTCAAGACAGAGGTATATTGACAACACCGTGTAATCAAATCGCAACTATGATATACAATGCAAACATAATAGGAGATATTTTCGTTTGAAGGGGAACTACAGAAATATACACCAGTTTCTTTCAGTGAAAGTAAATGATTAATAGGCAGGGACACGTCCGAAGAAATCCAGCTCCCAAACACTTCAGTCTAATAGCCATCAATCACGTCACCTCGAACGGCACCTGCAAGCACTGAAGGTTACTGAAGATCGGTTCTAACCCGGATCTCCACAGGTAACTCACTATGTAATGCAGTTATGTATATTTTAGGGAGTCACACTGATTCGACCCATCTCCATGCATTGTCTACGCTATGTTATGTCGCTGGACTTCAAGAATGGACTTCACACCTTGTGCCTACGACGAGAATCGAACCCGCTTATTTGGCTTGACGTCCCGACATGGATTATCCCATACAGAGACTAGCTTGTACTTACATTTGCATCCGTGAATGTTCCTTCAACTGTGGTGGCAAATCCCACAACTAGTTGTAACAGGTGTATAACATGCAAATACTAAAACGTGCAGATCAATATTTCATTCAGGTTAATTTGAAAAGAATGAAAGAATGATATTTCCGGGTAACACCAGTCATATCAGTGTGTATAGTCAGGAAAAAAGAACTCAATGTGTATGAGGAAAGTAAAATTTAGAATGGGATTCGATAAGGACAGTATCCCATGTGTTGATATAACGTGAATTACGATCTCCCTTTCGAACTAAATCCCAAACAGACCTGTGTTATCTCCTTTCCGGGGTCAAAGTCATCTGTATTTAATGGCGACGTGGCTTTCTGTATTCAAATTAATCCTCTAGAGTAATTATAACATTCCTTCTGTGATCCGCGTTATTCCTCTCGTTATCCCGAGTATTCCTTTAGTTCTCTGTCTTCAATCCACTGTAATCTAGCCGCCACTGTACTTAACTAACATTAAACTTTAGTATTCATTGTGTAAGGACCTTTCAACGATCAAGGTTACTCAATAACTGCCATCATGTTTATTTATATGTACCAATGTTGACAGCGTTGACTGGCGATGTTTGATTTGCGTTAGGATCATATTACACATGTGTATTCTTTCCTAGTTGTGGAACCTGGATAACCACGGCGATTCCGGGTTCGAACTCAGAAACTAAAATACTTGGAGATCAGGCCCCAATTTCTCGAAACAAACTTAAGTTTTTACTCAAATCTCAAACTGAGTTTGACAATTTGAAACAGCTGAATTTTTAACTCAACTGCATTTTTTTAAATAAAAAAAGTCCAAACAACTTAAGTAATCTATCCACCAAACTCAAATTGTCTACTAAGTTTGAGTTTAATATTGATTTCAGTTTATTCTGGGAAAAGCATTTTCCTGCGTTTTCTCAAATTTGAGTAAAAAACTCAGACTTAAGTTTGTTTCGAGAAATCGGGGCCAGATCGGATGATCCTCCTCGATGAAGTTGTTGATGCCAGGAGACGTTTCTCGTAACACCAGTCTTTGTTTGTCTGGTCCAGACTCGATTATGTTCAGTATGTAAGCTCTTTTGATATGAGTAAGTGAGTGAGTTTAGTTTTACGCCGCACTCAGCAATATTACAGCTATATGGCGGCGGTCTGTAAATAATCGAGTCTGGACCAGACAATCCACTGATCAACAGCATGAGCAGGTGTCTGCGCAATTGGGATATGATGACATGTGTCTTTTGATATATTGCTGATTGTGACGTTGAACAAACAAACAAGCAATGTATATTTATATTTGACCTCAATCCTACATTGCAGACATTGCCCAGCGTGATAATGAGTTCAGATATGGGTCGACAGGGACAAAGTGTGTTCTCTGCATTGTGAAAAAGGTCAAGGTGACCCAGCTGGACAAGATTACCACGCCAAGCGAAGTGACGTCATTGTGTGTGTGAAGGTGGGGCAGGGCTACATCGACATAATCAAGTCAAGCCACTGAATGTATGGAGGCGGGACAATAATACCCCAGATGGAGCGCCACTCTTTGAACCTGGGTAATCGAACCCAGGTCTTCAGCGTGACGAGCGAACGCTTTAACCACTAAGCCCCTAGCTATGCGTTAGGAACTAATTTGAGATAACTAGGCAGGGTGGCCTAGTAGTTATAGCGTCCGTTCGTCACACCGAAGACCCCGGTTCGATTCCCCACATGGGTACAATGTTTGAAGCCCATTGCTGGTGTCCCTAGCCATGATATTGCTGGAATATTGTTAAAAGCGGCGTAAAACTAAACTCACTCAACGGGTCTCTATTTCATACAAATATACGTGGTGTGTCGAGTTTTACGCCAGTTTTAGCAATATCCCCAGCGGGGAAATCAGATTGATTGGGGAACAAATCCCGGGCCTTTACTATAAGGGGAGAACATTTCAATAATTAAGCTACCTTATTGTACTGTTACTGCTATGAATGTGAGGTGTTACGCCACCCCGCCGACCCCTGATATAACTTTAAACATCTCATATCCTACTTACATTTGTGTCTGTCCAAGGCTTATAAACACTAGTCCATCATCGAACACTGAAGTAAGCTGTTCTCGTGTTGATTGCTAAATATCCTTCATAACACGAAGGCGTATCATAAACATATCACGTATCGGTGCGTATGCATAAAATGTGTGACTCTTTGTGTCGAAACTTTTCTCGGGAGCGATCGATATTATCCTGTAGAAATACAATGCTATTATGTAACGGTTGTGTTTATTCAGAGTTTGCTGTAACGTATTTGTATGCCAGCGTTATGACAAAAGGTTATAAATAATCAAGGCTGGAACAGTCAATCCAGTGAGTCATTAACGATATACGCTGTCGGAGTAAGATGACTCGCTATCTTTCGACTTCGAAAACCTGTTTCGGCTTATTGCATTCGAGTCATTGTCAACGTTACAATGAATATATATTGTTCTTTTAACTAAAGCGTCAGGCATATCGATGGACTAATATCGTTCAACAACCATCCCATCCAATAGCCAGTTCCCTTCCACTGGCTTACCCACCTGTAGGGTACCATTGTACAAAGCAATCTTAGCGCTAAGGTGACCGTAACTCCCATGCCTTAACATAGACTTAAGGTAGCCTTTGCGCTAAGGTGACCGTAACTCCCATACCTTAACATAGACTTAAGGTGGCCTTAGCGCTAAGGTGACCGTAACTCCCATGCCTTAACATAGACTTAAGGTGGCCTTAGCGCTAAGGTGACCGTAACTCCCATGCCTTAACATAGACTTAAGGTGGCCTTAGCGCTAAGGTGACCGTAACTCCCATGCCTTAACATAGACTTAAGGTGGCCTTAGCGCTAAGGTGACCGTAACTCCCATTACCAATAACATAGACTTAAGGTAGCCTTTGCGCTAAGGTGACCGTAACTCCCATACCTTAACATAGACTTAAGGTGGCCTTAGCGCTAAGGTGACCGTAACTCCGATGCCTTAACATAGACTTAAGGTGGCCTTAGCGCTAAGGTGACCGTAACTCCCATACCTTAACATAGACTTAAGGTAGCCTTAGCGCTAAGGTGACCGTAACTCCCATACCGTTACATAGACTTAAGGTAGCCTTAGCGCTAAGCGTTACATGGACTTAAGGTAGCCTTAGCGCTAAGGTGACCGTAACTCCCATGCCTTAACATAGACTTAAGGTAGCCTTTGCGCTAAGGTGACCGTAACTCCCATGCCTTAACATAGACTTAAGGTAGCCTTAGCGCTAAGGTGACCGTAACTCCCATACCGTTACATAGACTTAAGGTAGCCTTAGCGCTAAGCGTTACATGGACTTAAGGTAGCCTTAGCGCTAAGGTGACCGTAACTCCCATGCCTTAACATAGACTTAAGGTAGCCTTAGCGCTAAGGTGACCGTAACTCCCATACCTTAACATGGACTTAAGGCAGCCTTAGCGCTAAGCGTTACATAGACTTAAGGTAACCTTAGCGCTAAGGTGACCGTAACTCCCATACCTTAACATGGACTTATGGTAGCCTTAGCGCTAAGGTGACCGTAACTCCCATACCTTAACATGGACTTAAGGTAGCCTTAGCGCTAAGGTGACCGTAACTCCCATACCTTAACATAGACTTAAGGTAGCCTTAGCGCTAAGCGTTACATAGACTTAAGGTAGCCTTAGCGCTAAGGTGACATAATGGATGATTGTAACTTTCCAATAGTCAACGTTCCTTTCTTGTTGAAAATATTCCAACAGTTCCAGCCTTTGGTGTTTACATTTTACAACTTTTGTGGTACAGTCAAGAATGCTTCTCTTATCAAGATTTCAAAGAACGTCATACGGATCTTGCTCAGAAGTTGCGAATAAGGCTACAGCATTCAATTGTGATGCATCGGTGACAAAAATTATGTCTGATGCAATTTCCTATTTTGATTTACGCTGCCGAATCTTTTCACGTGAACAGTGTATAAATTTGCCTCTACATGTTTATAATGGGTGCCACCCGTAGGGCATGATCTAATGGTGTCAGTCACTTGCTTGTCCAGTCCAGGCTCGAGCTGTAATACTGTTTGTAAAACAAACTCATACTCATTAAATCTGTTTTGTTTTTGTACCCATTGTACTCACTATAACGCGCGTGTTTGTTTTAAACCCTGCTATGATGCCTCTGTATGTTGTAGCCCTGTTATAACGCATTTGTTTGTTGTAAACCCTGTCATGATGCGTTTGTTGTAAACCCTGTTATAATGCGTATGTTTGTTGTAAACCCTGTCATGATCCGCTTGTTGTAAACCCTGTCATAATGCGTTTGTTTGTCTGTTATAAACCCTGATATAATGCGTTTGTTTGCTGAAACCCTGTCAGGATGCGTTTGTTTGTTGTAAACCCTGTCATAATGCGTTTGTTTGTTGTAAACCCTGTCATAATGCGCTTGTTTGTTGTAAACCCCGTCATAATGCGTTTGTTAGTTATAAACCCTGTCATAATGCGTTTGTTTGTTGTAAACCCTGTCATGATGCGTTTGTTGTAAACCCTGTCATAATGCGTTTGTTTGTTGTAAACCTGTCATAGTGCGTTTGCTTATTGTAAACCCTGTCATAATGCGTTTGTTTGTTATAAACCCTTTCATGATGCGTTTCCTTGTTGTAAACCCCGTCATAATGCGTTTGTTTGTTGTAGTTCTGTCATAATGGGTATATTTGTTGTAAACTCTCTCATAATGCGTTTATTTGTTGTAAACCCTGTCATGATGCGTTTGTTTGTTATAAACCCTGTCATAATGCGTTGTTTGTTGTAAACCCTGTCATAATGCGTTCCCTTGTTGTAAACCCCGTCATGATGCGTTTGCTTGTTAAAAACCCTGTCATAATGCCTTTGCTTGTTGTAAACCCTTTCATAATGCGTTTGTTTGTTGTAAACCCTGTCATGATGCGTTTGTTTGTTGTAAACCATGTCATGATGCATTTGTTTGTTGTAAACCGTGTTATTATGCGTTTGTTTGTTGCAAGCCCTGTCATAATGCGTTTGTTATTTATAAAACCCTGCCATGATGCGTTTGTTGTAAATCCTGTCATAATGCCTTTGTTTGTTATAAACCCTGTCATAATGCGTTTGTTTGTTGTAAACCCTGTCATAATGCGTTTGTTTGTTGTAAACCCTGTCATAATGCGTTTGTTTGTTGTAAACCCTGTCATAATGCGTTTGTTTGTTGTAAACCCTGTCATGATGCGTTTGTTTGTTGTAAACCATGTCATGATGCATTTGTTTGTTGTAAACCGTGTTATTATGCGTTTGTTTGTTGCAAGCCCTGTCATAATGCGTTTGTTATTTATAAAACCCTGCCATGATGCGTTTGTTGTAAATCCTGTCATAATGCCTTTGTTTGTTATAAACCCTGTCATAATGCGTTTGTTTGTTGTAAACCCTGTCATAATGCGTTTGTTTGTTGTAAACCCTGTCATAATGCGTTTGTTTGTTGTAAAA